TTGAGTGGAGTGAGTGGTGTAATGACACGGAAGAACAATGGAGGAGAACAGCATGGCAAACTTCTTCTCATCTTTCACAATCACCTGTACACCATTACAACTTTGCACTGTGCCAAAAAAAAGAGAGAGAGAGAGAGATTTATAGTGAGAAACAAAAGATTATTACTGAATGACAGCAACACAATTACACTCAAAGTTATACACTACACACCTTTTGCTTAAATGTTTGCCCTGTTTTGCAGTATGGACACTAGTAGTCAAAACTAGCTAGCGAAAATCAAAACCAGTCTCCAGATTTCACAGAAAACCGTGCATGATGGGCACGACTTCAATTTTTGAAGCTTCAGAGGATATAAAATGTATGACGTTTTCTCAGTTTGTCATGCATCTCATACTAACATATGTGAGTTTGTTGTGTTCAGAATGACTTAAAAAAGATTCCTCAGTGTATGATGGCAGGTTTATCTCTGTAACCACTTATAATGTCAGCATATTTGTTTTGCATTTAACTGTTGTGACAGTTAGAAGAAAAACAGTTAGAATTAAGAAAAAAACTTATTATACAAACACAACATTTTTGGGACATCTAAATGCAGTGCAGAACCCTGTTTTGTGTGATTTTTAATAAAGACAAAAACTCCAGACCTATGCAAATGTTTGTTTGTAGTTACTGATAAATATTATATTTGTTTTGTAATAACTTGGGTAACAGTACTGAAGGTTGAGCTTGATGAAAATAAAGTCAACATTGCAATTTACTTAAAGGGTTAGTTCACCCAAAAATGAAAATTATGTCATTAATGACTCACCCTCATGTCGTCCCAAGCCCGTAAGACCTCCGTTCATCTTCGGAACACAGTTTAAGATATTTTAGATTTAGTCCGAGAGCTTTCTGTCCCTCCATTGAAAATGTATGTACGGTATACTGTCCTTGTCCAGAAAGGAAATAGAGACATCATCAAAGTAGTCCATGTGACATCAGTGGGTTAGTTAGAATGTTTTGAAGCATCGAAAATACATTTTGGTCCAAAAATAACAAAAACTACGACTTTATTCAGCATTGTATTGTCTTCCGGTTCTGTTGTCAATCCGCTTCAGTGACGCTGGTGATGTAAGACGCTGCTGACGTGTATCTGGTGCGTCTGTGTATTCGGGTTCAAATAAATATGGCTGGGCAAAAAAATGCAAGTCTTCCTCTGTGTCGAAATCCTTAGACATGTTTGCGAAGATTGTTTTGTTTACAGCGTGCGTCTCCCTCAGACTGTAAACGAAGCTCGGGCGCACCAGATTACACGTCAGCAGCGTCTTACGTCACCAGCGTCACTGAACGCGGATTGACAACAGAACCGGAAGACAATACAATGCTGAATAAAGTCGTAGTTTTTGTTATTTTTGGACCAAAATGTATTTTTGATGCTTCAAAACATTCTAACTAACCCACTGATGTCACATGGACTTCTTTGATGATGTCTTTATTTCCTTTCTGGACAAGGACAGTATACCGTACATACATTTTCAATGGAGGGACAGAAAGCTCTCGGGACTAAATCTAAAATATCTTAAACTGTGTTCCGAAGATGAACGGAGGTCTTACGGGCTTGGAACGACATGAGGGTGAGTCATTAATGACATAATTTTCATTTTTGGGTGAACTAACCCTTTAAAACATTGAGAAACTTAATATGAATTAATTAGTTAATTAAAATGATTTTCTTGTCTTCTTGTCGTGTACAGTAATGTTATTCAATTGGTGTCACAATTATAATAAATTTGTATGTTTTGTATATTAAAATTAGCTAATTGTTGCAAAAAAGTTTTGAATGAAAATAATTTTAACAAAATTATGACTCTTTTTATTTTCATTGTTGCATACAGTCAAAAATGAGAAGATAATATCACCATATTAAGTGGTTGACATTGGGTGTTTAAAAGAAGCTAAGTTTGTTGTAGGTTAATTTTGTACTATTTCTAATTTATCAACAACAAAATATGTTTTTGGTGCCTCTAATGCATAAAAAATGAGAGACAAAACTGCATCCTTTCCTTTTTGTGGAATTTAGTGGATCAGCAAACACACCCAAAGAGAGTAATGCAAATTCCAAGATACAGTGAGCTTTCAGCGGCAACTGTAATGACTACTGACCTGTTCATGATTAGTATTATGGTGTTTGAGTCTAATGGTATGTTTCATAGTGTCAGAGACAGGCATGTGTTCATTACCCAAAGCCCTTTCTCAGACTAGGCCTAACTAACCAGTGCATCAAAAAAAACTGATTTTGCTCACTGCCTCTTTTCGAGAATGCTTAGTCACTCCATTCCAAAGGGAATCAGCAAGAGATTACAAGGTGAGATGACCTGAAAACAACCCTAAAAACATCTGGATCCAGTCAGTCAGCATTTGAGTGTGTGTGTGTGTGTGTGTGTGTGTGTGTGTGTGTGTGTGTGTGTGTGTGTGTGTGTGTGTGTGTGTGTGTGTGTGTGTGTGTGTGTGTGTGTGTGTGTGTGTGTGTGTGTGTGTGTGTGTGTGTGTGTGTCTGTGTGTGTGTGTGTGTGTGTGTGTGTGTGTGTGTCTAAGCATGAAAGAGTGTATTTGTCCAGCCGTGTGTGGGAGATTATGGAACAAAAAGCTGGACAAAATCGTAGAAGTTCCCGAGAGGAGGATCTGCTGGTGTCAAAAACACAGAGAGAGAGAAAGAAAGAGAAGTGTGAGTAAAGAAAGATAAATTCCATGCTATGCAGGGAGCGCAGAGACGTGGGGCCTGTAGTTTTTTGTAGAGACGTCACCGTTTGTTGCTCTGACTGTTTGGGGTGGAACCCAAATATTCTGAGAAAACTCTTATGAAAGATCAAGTTTAGTCCAAGTAGAGCAGAGGTCTCTCCCACAAACACAGAGACACCCTAAAACTCGTCAAAGGGTGGAGCACACCGCATACAAATATACAACTGCCAGTCATCACAGATGTCTGGATGAGATCTACACTCATTCATTGCAGCCTTAGTGGAAACAGAGCAGCTTCCTGAGCATTTTCCAACTGTACTTTAGAATGATCATGTTTCTGAGGGAAATGTAGGCGAGAATTCTTGATTACATTCATTAATACTCAGTCCAGGGTAGATGGGGTCCTCCTTTTGTCCTCCCGTTTGACTCATTGTTTGGCATTACGGTGAACCCCCACCCACTAGACTCAGTGCAGGAGGGGGATGTTGAGTTCCCACCAATAAGATACACTCATTGACTCAGTCATAGATGACTACCCAATTAGGTTAAAGAGATTTAAACCAAGCCGTTAGTAGCAGGAAACTTTACTTGATTGTATGTTAATGAGCTGCTGGTGCTAACTAAACCATTATATGTATTACATATTATTGCAAATAGTATTCAGCAGTTCAACAGCTCAAAACAACTTTTCTCTACAATGTTTATGCAAATTCACACATACACTGTCTACTGAGAGGAATTTTTAAAAGTGTAGTTTTAGTTCACATCAGTCCACAAAGTTGGCCACTAACTTGCTCATAAAACAACCATCATATAGTGTGTTGTCTCAGTTGCATCCACCATTCAAGAACTGATACAATGCAGCTGCACTCCCTGACACACATTCCAGCAGCACTTCCCACAATTCTTCTCTCCCACAACAACAACTTTGGGATGTTAAATAGTTTCAAATGTTCAGCATAATCTGGGCTAGTACAATCTTGAACTGTGAAGTCTTTTAATTTTATATACTTTTATTTACTTATAAAAGCATACGTGAATGTATGTATGTATGTATATATACAGCCATTCTATAATCATCAATAATCAATATAATAAAGATTATTGTTGAGCAAATGTAGGCTACATTTTTTATTTAAATCAGAGTCATTTATTTTATTATTTTATAAGTTTTTAGCTTTTAGTTTTGAATATAACACACTTATTTTACAATAAAAAGTGCCCAACAGACTCTCATTAATATATATATATATATATATATTGTAATTTTTTTTTTTATAAAATTTGTAAATTATAAAAGTTTTGTCAGGTGTAAATGTAAATGGAGTAAAAACCGTCGCGAGGACCCGTGATCAATCTAAAATTAAAGCCGGGTAGGGCTCAAGGTTCTCTCTCAACCTGTTGCTTTAGTTGTCTGTCTCAGTTTTCTATTTCTATATCATGACCAAAAGGAAAACAGATGAATAACTTACGTGAAAATAGTATGAAAAGAATCCAGGAACCGTGTAACAAAACCATGATCCAGTTTAGTGTGGTTTATATTGCAGCTATCTAGTCCATCTTGCTCCGGACTGTTACTCGCTTGCTTCATCTCTGTCTGCTCTGCGCTGGTTAGAAAGAGCGGACTGTACCACTTTACTAAAGGGGGAAGAAACTGTGAAAATTGCAACTAAAATCAATATATGCTAAACGGCTATTGAGATGAAAAAGTAATTTGATAATATATATATATATATATACTTTTAATGAAATAGTTGTCAAATAACTATCATCATAAACTACTTTACATAACAGCCACCGACACGGTCTCCCAATCTTCTAAAGTGGATGCGTCTTTCAGAAAAATACTGCAACATATTGCATTCAACGTAAAAAGTATAGGGCAGGGCTGTAACTTAAGGTGACTTTAGAGCTTGCTCTTGTTACAAAGACACATATTAATGGAAAAAAGAAAAATAAACAGTTATACATTCAGTATTTTAAAATCAGTTATTTATTTAGAATGTGACAAGCAAGTGTGTGTAACATGAATTAGTTCTAGCCATTTTGATAAATTCCAACATTGTGCCATAAAATTACTGAAAATGTCCTAACCAGCTCGTAAAACTGCTCATAAAAATTATGCAGAATTATAAGGATTGCAAAATATAAATGATAATAATTAAGTAGGGACTATTTCATTGGATTAAAAAAAAACCATATACATAACATGACAGGTTAAAAAGTTTTTTCCATTCTTATAATAATATAGAAATGTACAAAAAAAGTGGAGAGATGTCACCGTCCTTAAGCACCATTCTGACCACCTGCCCAAAAAATGACTGAACACATGCATGATTCAGAAGAACAAAAATATGATTTTGCCTAATTACTTTAGCTGATAGTCAGAACAAAAAAAACTATATGCTGTATATAAAATACTATTACAATCCTGTAAAATAAAACAAAAAAGTAAATAAAAAGGATAGTTCGTTGAGGTCAGAAGAATCAGATGCATTTGCCACTGCAGGGATAAAGAACAATTTTTTTGGATTATCAACACAGGAAAAAAATGTAGAGGCCTTGGCTCACGGCCATCCTCCTTATAGCAACATTTTGATGGCTGTCATAATAATTCAATGGTTCATCACATACTGATTATCATACTGATCTTAATGATTTTATCTATAGCGATCTCTATGGTCATCATAGCGATCTCTGCGATCATCATACCTATCTCTGAGGTCATCGCGGCTACCTCTTCGATCATCATACCGATCTCTGAGGTCATCGCGGCTACCTCTGCGATCATCATACCGATCTTTGAGGTCATCACGGCTACCTCTGCGATCCTCATAGCGATCTCTGAGGTCATCACGGCTACCTTTGCGATCATCATAGCGATCTCTGAGGTCATCACGATCTCTGAGGTCATCACGGCTACCTCTGCGATCATCATAGCGATCTCTGAGGTCATCGCGGCTACCTTTGCGATCATCATAGCGATCTCTGAGGTCGTCACGGCTACCTTTGCGATCATCAGAGCGATCTCTGAGGTCATCACGATCTCTGAGGTCATCACGGCTACCTCTGCGATCATCATAGCGATCTCTGAGGTCATCACGGCTACTTTTGCGATTATCATAGTGAACGCTGAGGTCATCAGGGCTACCTTTGCGGTCAACATAGTGGTCACTGTGGTCATCACGGCCACCTCCATTGTCATCACTTCGAGCTTTGTCAGGTCTCTCTTCAGTGATGTGCAGATTCCCTTCCTCAATATATTCTATTTGTGGTGTGTCATGGTATTCCACCACTGGAGTTCTGAGGCATAAATAAAGTAAACACAGATTAATAAAAAAATAAAAAAAATAATAATAAAAACCAGAACCACCTAAATGCCAACAAACACTCAATTTATAGCTTCCAGGGGATAAATGGCAACCTATTCCACTTGACTCTTACTCTTTTGATTTCTGTTTCCGTTTGCGGACACAGCAGATGATGATTATTATAAGCACTGCAGCTCCAGCAATACAACCAGCAACAATGCCTATTGTGGCAACATTCATAGAGGCTGTAAAAACAGAAAGATATGGAAATTAAAATGTAGCAAATTAAGCTGAAAGTCTCTGAGGTCAATATTTCATGCATTAAAGGTGACAAATCAAAGTTATTAATCAGTTAAAGTGCTATAATTGGGTCCCCGGTGCATCTACCAACCCAGAAAACGTGAAAAGTGACAACCCAGTAACTTAGTTTTGGTAAGCCTTTCTCTGCAAGCATGTAAAAAAATAGGCCAATCAGATTTTGCTCCCCTTCTGACATAGAAAGGGGATATTATAATATTACGAAAATTAATCTGCAAGTTTCCACCCATGGTGCTGCCATTTGGTTTTCGCAATTGACAACTGTCACGATTCCTGTCTTGTGTTCCCCTTGTCTTATGTGGACCTTTATCATTTCCTGTACTGTGCCATGTTTTGTAGTCCTTTGTAGTTTTCTTGTTTATTAGTCTCTCCAGGTGTTTCTTATTAGCCCCGCCCCCTTGTTATCTTGTTTATCTTGTTTGCCTGTGTATTTAAGTCTCTATGCTTCAGTTGTTGTTTGTCGGTCTTTGAAGTCGTTTGCTGTTTCCTGTAGCTGTCTCTCTGTTCTGAGTTTCCCTGTTTTCCCTGGATTACCTGTCTGTGTTATTAAAGTGCTGCAATTGGATTCACTCTTCGTGTCATTCCTGACGCCACGTTACAACAACAGTGTAACCAGTTATAACACAATGGGAAAAGTTCGAGCAAAGCATGCAAACTGTTCTGTCGTTTCTCCAGAGACGAACACAGAACACTATTTAGAGTCCCAGCCTCAGAGGAGACAAGTGAGCAGTGGATTTATTTTATTTAATTTTAAACGGAAATCCCCCAGAAACACATGAATCAATGTAACTCCACAACAACTACATAAATGTATCCACTATCCATTCCGAAAGGTCCAGGTGCAGTCTAAAAGTTGCAACCTCTTCCTGAGTCTCTCTCCTCCTGGCTGCACTCCACTACTGGTTATTTCGGAGATTTTGGATGACTGAGATTCGCAAGTATTGTTATTGTATCCGAATTCCGAACTAAGCTCGTGAAAGTATCGGTCTTCTTCATTTGCTTTTAAAGGGACACATACAAATACAGTGCGTTTTTTCTCACACCCAAAAATGCTGTAATAAATGACCTGTGGGGTATTTTGAACTGAATCAATCTGGGGACACCATAGATTTATATTACATCTTGTGAAAAGGGGCATAATATGTCACCTTTAATCTCAGTAAATTACCATAAAACTGTCGGATTGACTTTTCTGATAAACCTTATTGCTATCTGCTGTTTACACAAGCAACAGCGTTTTAATTTTTTATTGTTAAAGAGTTAGTTCAAACTAAAATAAAAGTTTTGTCATTAATTACTCACCCTCATGTCATTCCAAACGTAAAACTTTCGTTCATCTTTTTTAGGCTATCAGTGAACCGAAACAGAAACTCAACCGAACCTGCTTGATGTGCAAGAACAAACCTCATTGGTTCTTGCGGAAGCTCAAACGTGCTGCGTAACACTTGAGAATGAACTTAATTGGTTATTGCACATCAAGCGGACATGCTTGAGCTTCCATTTACCACAACTGATTTGTGAGTTGATGAATGTTTATGCATAAAAGGAATGGAAAAGAAACTCTGCACCGCTCATGCACTAGACACCGAAAAAACAGTGACACGCAGTGCAATGGACAAAGATGTCCATGTAATGTAGAAAAACTATTAAAAAGCAAAGCAGTGAAAAAAAACTTTCTGTGTGTAATCACATAATTTCTGTCAAAACTTCTTACATCAGTGTACTTCCGCAACACATTTTGGAATGCAAAGTCAAGCTTAAGTAGCTAGAAACATCAGCGTACTTCCATGTTTCAGACCTCAGAATAACTAACCCGATCTCATGAGAAAATATAACAATTTTTACAATGTGACAATTTTGTATACATTTTTGTACAATGTGACATTGTGTCAAAATATATGATTTTTAAGAAAACCATAAGTGTGAAGGTCCGCCTCTAATCCCACCCATAAACCTAACCATCAAGCTGGGCCAGAATAAGATTGTATGAAAATGTACAAATTTGACCAAACAAAGTTACAAATTTTCATGAGAGTGTGTTGGAATAACATAACAATGAGGAGTGTAGTCTATAACAGATTAGGTCAATTGTCAATGTCATGTTGACATTCAGATAATTGGATCATTATTGCTGTGATTATTATGTTTCTAGCATGTTATATGTTTGGCAACAGTTGTTCTAACCCTAATTGATGGAGTGTGTAGCTTTTCATTTCTTCAACAACCATGTAGGAAGACACATCATGGCAATATTCCATGATGACAACGCCAAGATACATCAGTCTCAAATTGTGAAATAATGGTTGGGATGGAGCATGAAGAATCATTCTCACATGAATTGGCACCTCTGAGTCCAGACCTTAAATTCATTGAAAGTCTTTGGGATGTGCTAGAGGAGACTTTACAGAGTCCTCGACTCTTGCATTGTAGATACAAGATCTTGTATTGTGTGAAAACAGAATTCTTGCATCTCTTACACCAAAATCCTCTTAATGGAAATGAATGTTGCTTGATCTGTTTTCACACAATACAAGATCTTGTATTGACAATGCAAGAGTCAAGCTGTAAAGTCTACTCAGTACAATAATCTGGTACAATAATCAAAACATGATAAAATAATCTGAATAAAATAAATCTGGAAAGTAAACACTCATATAAATTTATACAGAAAGAAAGCAGGCAATACTCACATGGCATTACAGACAATGTCATGTTACATTTGGCTGATCCGACCTTATTGGTTGACAGGCAGATATAGTAACCTGATGTCTCCATGGATGCATTGACCAAAGCCAGAACTCCATCCTCTGTTACACAAAATCATGTGTAAACTTTAGCGTTTAATGGCAAAAATTTTTTTATTAATCTAATCCACTGAAAGAGAGAGCAAACTTACTTTCAGTGGTTTTAAGAGGAAATGCTTTTGGGACATTTTTGACATCATATCTCTCCCATTTGTATGTGGGTGATGGCGAGCCCTCCTCAGAAACACAGGTTAGGCTAATATTGTGTCCATATTCTGCGGTGCCTACTACCTTACAAACAGGTTGTGATGGTGCAACTATAAGACAAATGTAGATATGCATTCAACGTTTTTAAAAAGGATTCCACTTGCCATGTATAGTTATATGGAATTTTTATTTTGAGATGTTAATAAGTTATAAGTTTGACAAAGTGCCAGAGATCTTACCCTGAACCAAAAGAGAAGTGGAGTCGGCTGTTTTGCCTTCAATGTCTCCAGGAATCTGAACATAACATTTAATTCTTCTGCTTTCTTTAAGAGTGACTTGTTTTAGTGTCAGTTTTGATGTTTTTGCATCAAGGTCAAAGTCTATCGAGGCTTTGCCTTCATACTGTGGTCCAATGTCTACTTTGCGAGTATTGGAGTAATAGCTACCAAAAAGTACCTAGGTCCAAAACAAAGAACCAATTATACATTAATAAACAGTCATTGTTTTTACACTTATCATGGTTAGTGGTATTTTGGTAGACAGTTGAAGAAGTTTATCAATACTGTCAAATTTTTAGGCTTACCTTGTCTCCAGATGTCTCATCAGAATGACCACTCCATGTTATAATGATAAGATCGTTTACTTGATTTTTAGGTTTAAAATTACATGTAAGGGTGACATCATCACCCCTGGCAACCTCCACAGAAGCTTGACTCATTGTCACTTCCAGTCCAAAACTAGTCGACATCACTATGAGGCAAAAACGAGACCTTTGTGAATATCACACAATGTCACAATCTGAAAATATTTAGTAAAATTCCTTGTATTTCTACATTTGAAAATCAATCTCATTTACAGAATCACAAATCTACATCACAACTTAAGTTTATCAGTAAACTTCATCAGCAATACATTTGGTGTGATTATATTATTATACATTCTGCTAAAATATGAACTTATTATTAATACAATTTCTTCATTTAATTATTTAATATGAAATCATTACAGTGTTTAAGAATGCATAAGTCCACCTTATTTGTAAACTGTCTACTGATGCTTTGTATTGTGTCTAAAGAGCTCTATTATGTAAATGAATGAAACAAGTAAAAAATTCGCCATTTTGTAGCCCTGGTGAAAACATTAACAACATTATTACTTGAAAACATATTTTAAATGAAATTTAAGTGTCACATGTTGAACAACTGACAAGAAAACAAATCACTTTTGTGACCCACACTGTTATCTAACATATAATGTCATTGATTTGATCTTGCTGTACTCAATGTAAACGTCATGAAAGTGACCACCTCACCTGATATTAAATATAGGCTGCAAAAAATCAACTTCCAGTTGGTCATTTTGTCGCTGTCCAGTCACACTGCAATAGATGATGTTTTGCGGAATTAATTTGTATATATAGGCTACACATATATATATATATAACCTATATATATATTTCTCATATATCCTTATCTCATGGCTTCCTGTGAACTCCTGAAACAGTTTTGCTTCTGCAATCTGCACCTGTGTGACTGTCTCTACCACACCTATATTGCACTTTGGAGCCTTTCCTCTCACTCAAAGTTTTACAAGTTAGGTTGTAACAAAATGGCAGATGTGATATCATAACCAGGTCATAACAGTCATATTAGTAAATAGTGGGAGTCATTGCTGGGAAATGAACTGACGTAATGGGGTAGGGGTTGTTATAGCCGCCAATAAGGGACAAATTGAACGTATTACATATTAGTTCTTGAATTTTATTCTGGATTATTTGTATACAATATCACTTGATAAAACGTAAGTTTTACATACATAGGGCACACTCACTAACACTAACAAGCTTTACTTGTGTTCATGTCAGTATAATATTAATAATATCGTAATGTTTCTGTCTTTCGAAAAAACATTCTAATATTGTTGGTCTAACCTCAAACAAGGGTGTGCATTCCAGCTGTGGTGTATTGCCATATCTGACCAGCAGATGGTAGTGAATGAGGCATAATTGAAATCACAGGCACTTTGAGAACAGTTCATTTTTCCATTTGGTAAAGAACTATTGATCTTTACCAGACGCCATGCTGACAAAAACTGCTTATCTGTGCTAGTTAACAGACTTGTTCTCACTCTTTCCATATAGACTATTCCATTTAAGAAATTTTATTGTTTTTGGGTCATTTTTTGTCTGACTGTTTTCAGTAAAAAAATGTACATTAAATATTATTTTTGTAATTGCAATCGGGATTTGTAACATTGAGAAAAAAATATATATAAAAAAATAAACATAAAATTGATAATTCATAAAACAAAACAAAAACTGTTTTTTTTTACAGTCAAAGTGTTTATTGTATTTGGCCTATATTTGAAGAAGTAGTCATGGCATATTTCGGTCTATCTGTATGTTATACAGAACTTTTTTTGTTATTATATTATTTTATTATATATTGACTTACACAGTCTATTTACAAATAGTTGAATAATACAGTTTTTATAAAATATCTGAGATTTTTTTAAAACTGGAATTTAATTTCCAGTTATCATCAATGAAACTGAACTGAGCTGAATAATGACACTATTATCTTGCAACAGCAGCATTACAGCAGAATTAGAACTTGTCTAATCAAATTACTGAAGTTTGCATCATTAATTCTGTTACTCTCATGTTTTTCCTACTGTGTCATCTTTTGCCAATGTTATATATATATATATATATATATATATATATATATATATATATATATATATATATATATATATATATATAGGCCTACATTTTAAATAGGCCTAGGCCCTATATATATATATATATATATATATATATATATATATAAATAACATTGGCAAAAGATGACAGTAGGAAAAACATGAGAGTAACAGAATATATATAAGTTTGTCACATGTCTGCAATAATGCAAACATCTTTTCCCTATAGACAAATGTCAAATTTTAAATATTTACTTATTATTTTCATTGGATCATTTCACTTAAATGTTCATATAACAAATATTTTATCAATTTTTCCTGTTCTTTTGTTTTTTGCACAACACAACGCATGCAAGGTCTACATGTGTAATTATGGTTGATGGCAGTGATGATGTCAGTGAGTTTTTTTGGAGGTGGTTCTGGCCGTTTCAAACGCACTGATGGGAACTCTCTGATCTGCCATGCTGATGCTGTGGGTGAGTGCATCGGTGAGCCGCTGTATTGTGTTTTGAGGATTTGGGCTTAAATATTCAAAATGGCGGACGGAGGAGCAGCGAGTCAAGATGAGAGTTCAGGACCAGGTAATCATTACTGCATTTTACATATTCATATTCATATTCAAACACTCTTTCTCTCAACCCAGAAAAGCGCGGGAGAGAAAGCGTAAACAAAATACTCAAGCCCGATGTTGCAGTCATATGCACCCTTTAAATAAACGTATCGGGCAATAATTCTCTGTCTGTGCGACGGTGAAACTGGCGATGCAGTGCTACGGCAAATTAAAGGAAAAAATGCCTCCTTTGTGTGATTAGAGCAGTCGCGTTACATATTCATACCGCCGCCGAGCAAACGCCGCTTTGCATATTTTATTAGTCATAATCGGCGACAGCTCGCGGGGTTTTGCACTGTCCCCGGTCAGAGGTTGTAAGAATTTTACAGTTAATCTTAACTAAAGGCTGCCCTGTGCATGCTAGGCGGCTAATGCTACTCCAGCGGCTTTGTGTTGCTGTATTGTGCCGTGAGCCAATCCCACATATAAAGCTTTGAATATTCATTCGCTCGCAATCAGCCGGCGTCTGCGCAACGTGTTTACGGTGAAAATATGAAAGAACAGAGCAGCGGGTTCTTGCTTGGTGTACAGTTAGGACATGGCGTGATTTTTTTTTAATGCCCATTCTCTTGCCTTTTGTGCCCATTGCAGGCGTGTAGTCCTGTTATGTTATTCATGTGGGCCTTCTAGAGATCAGAATGCGCTGTTCAGCGTATTCCATCAGAATGAATCCATTTCATTGTCGAAGGATGGCGGAACGTGCCAAAATGGAACTCTGACGGCAATTGATACAATGTTACAGTACAGATGTGACAAATTGATATTTTGTAGCACAGCCAGTGTCTCCGTAACATTGTATCAGTCGGGCTACTCAAAGAGATGTATGCAGGCATTATGCCAGCTTTATTTGCTAGTCTAATAGGTAATCCTCATATAGAGCCCAGCTTCTCCACTATTGTTCCAGCAGCTGTATGCTTGTGTATTTAGTTTATTATGCTCATTTGTATTTAGTTTATTGTATAATATTGTCCGTGAACAATTGCTTACATTAATAAAGATAACACTCTCAATCCAATCATAATGTAATTCTAAATATCTGTGATTCTATGTAGATACAAGGGCACAAGTAATCACAGTCGAGATGATATTCAAAACTAATGCACAGTTGGGAGTGTCAAGTCAGTTTTGTTTGTATAGCACTTTTCACAATACTTTACAGACCCGCTTTACTGAACATGTTTGTGATATCTTATAGTCCACATTTAGCAGTTTAAAGCTGGGCTATAGAGGCAAGTTTACATTTGCTAACGATATAAAAGATCAACCAGATTTGCTATAGTAAATATCACTTTATGTGGGTAAAGTTGGATATATGTATAATAGTTGTCAATTGAAGTTAGCAATTTGTTTTGTTTTGATATTAAGGATTATGAAGTCTAAAAGATTTTGTTTTCAGTTTAAAACATTTTGGTGTAGTGATAATCTAATTATTGTTAGGTATTGTTGCCATGATTAAAATAACCCCATTGTTATAATATTAGTACTATTATACTACCATTTAATTTTTTTATTATCTGAATTAGATTTTGTTAATCTATATATTACGGTTTAGTTTTAATTAGAGTTTGTTTCAGTAATTTTGTTATTTGCTTTTGTCATTTTTTTTATTTATTATATATTTATTTAGCCCTAATTTATGTTTATTTCAGTTTTATTCCTTTGTCTTTATTTTATCAATTTTTTTAATGTAATATTTTATTTCAGCTTTATTTCAATTATTTGTAATAGTTTTAGTTAACAATAACAACACTGGATGGTGCATATCTGGGTTTAAGATTTTGGACATAACCCCATCCAGTAATATTGCTTTTATGCAGTTATCCCATTAATCAACACAGAGTATTTAAGGCAAAAATTGTCTTGGCCAAAGAAGATAAAATAATTTTAAAACTTCTGTTGGTGTCTCACAACAAGAGAAACAAATGTGCATTTGTTTTTTTTAATTTACTGCATGGTTTCATGTTTTGTTGAATCTGCTTTGAAATCCTTTGCATCAGTCTTAATTATCTTTTAACATGAATTCTCTGATACATGGGAATTATTTGGTTGGCAATTTAAATTCACATATAATTGTCTGCTTTTGGACATGTCATTGAGTCAGGTGTAACAGACCCTGCTTTTTATCTGATAACAGTTTCACTTTATGTGTAGTGCCTAGAGAAGCAATGACATGCCGGAACTTGTTTGTTTCCTGTGTCCACAGCTCATACCCAAGGTGTAAATTACCCACATAAATTCTTACTTTTATTTTAGTTGTAACTGAGACTTATCAAATGTAGTAGTGAAACTTCATGACATTTTGCATCTCTTTCTGACCATCTGTCTATTTCTTTTCTTGTTCTTGTGCTTTTCTTCATGCTCTGATAATGTGAACATGCAGAAACACTGCAGGCTAACAGTTAATTAAAATGATTATAGACCTAAAATCAAGTGAGAGTTTGTGTTTTTTTTTTGTCAGCCTTTGAGATTTGTCGAACAGTCCTCTTTGTATTCATTTGCTGCAAATTGGAGTGACTTCATGCTTTTTGTGTCTTGTTGTATAGTTAAATGGTTTTAGGTTACAATTCATGTGTGAGAATTGTGGTATGTGAATAGCAACCATCATACTATCAAGTGTCTTTAGTGTTTCATCAGTTCCTCTCTGAAACTCAAATGGAATGTTTTCAAATATATCATTTGAATATGAATTATATTATTATTTGTTCATGCTTTCTCATAATGAAATTGAATTTAGTTTATCCTCTGTGCTGCGTTCAGTCATCTTTTTCATGAAATGCTTCAAATGCCTGTTTTAAAAGTATAATATTTGCATAATTTTTTTCTGCTAATTTGAATATAGCTCTCCAGGTTAGTTTAGCCTTTCAACTAAATTGTCGCATGGTTTCCATGCAAGTGTGCCTTTGGACACGAAGTTGTCTACTAAAGGAAAATTAAGAAATATAACTATCTGTTTTGTTGGATAATAATGCTAGTCTTGTTGTTATCCTCCTTTTGTTTGAGTCAATTTTAGCACTCTGAAAAAGTATTTTAAGTGTCTGCAAAAGTTCCTTATGGATGGGCTGATTTCTTTATGCTTACTCCGTCAGATGTTTGTTCTAATATGTAAATCTCTGTTGTAATTAGGCCGAGCTCTGGAAATATCAGTTAATGAGGTGCACAGTTAATCTGGATATGCAAAGCAGACTTCATGTTCTTTTCCAGACAATACGGCTACAGAAGTCACGGAATTTGATCCGTGAAGTGTTTGGGTCACAGGGGGCTGTGTGAATAGGATGGTGGAGAATGGCAAGTAATTTACTTCCCGAACAGCTCCATCCTCAACCTCTGGTGCTTAGAAATGTGTAAGAAACACTTCTAAACGCAACCTGCTGTCTTTATGTCCAGATACAGACCTCACCGTTTTTTTCCCCTTTGATCGCATTGACAGAAAGCTCACCTGTTTCACCTAATTTAACCAGCACTCCGTAGGTAATTGGGCTTGTGCATTGACACTCCGGATTTTTTTCCCCCATTCCTCTTTTTTCCCTCCAAAGCGATCCAATTAATATGCTAATGAGATGATAAATATTTATGAACATTTAAATTAGGGAGAAAGCTCTCAGAGCGCCGTGCGAAATGAATTGCTTGCAGGACTTCAAAGTGTTGCTCGTCTAATGAAGTGAGGGAGATTTGCATATGGCTTTAATCAGCTGCATACTGATTATGCTTTATTACGGCACTGGCAGCCGCTCCGCTTCTGTTTCGTTCCAGAATGAAAACGAACTTCTTCACACTCTAGTTGTTATGACAATCATGGCACAGGGAGAGTGAGAGAGAGCAAATCAAGCAAGCCGGAGAGACTGAGAGAAAGGCAGCCACAGTTTCAGCGAAGCTTAGCTGTGCTCTGCACGTGTGTTGTTTTTCCACTCCAATCCGTTTAGTTAAACAGAGACTTCATTGCTTTTGAGTGTTGTCAGCGAAAGGGGTGCTAAGTTTGTTGTGATGCTCGTAGAGACGCTTGAGAAGGCAAGTGCAGCAGCTGCTGGTGAGTGATGTTTGTAGTCAGCAACAACATTTTAAGGTCTGTTTTATTGTATAGTGATGCTATTACTATCTAGGGTTGAGTAGTGGACATGTTTGGCTTGTAAATCCAAATGGTGTAGCTAATTAACAAACCAAACATGTCCACTACTCAAACCAAGGAATTTTTTAAGTGTTCACTTTAAATTTTTTTTTTAGGTCATATGGTTTGAAATCAAAAATGGGAATGAATTCATTTTTTTATGATGTTGAGGATGCTGTCTCACTTTCGAAAGTCACTGAATGATTGGTCAATGATTGGAGAAACTGAAAGTCCGGTCTTCCTCTGTCTGTTGTAGATTCTAGAATGAGTAATCCATCGGAAACAAGTAAATGTGCAATGGAGAGCGGGGACGAAAACACTGGTGAGTTACCCAAGGAACCGTTGGCTCTTTGGAGATGTCTGGCTTGCATGTTGTGCCTTTCATGTATTTTTCCCCATAGATTGCTCAGATCATTTGGCCTGATCCTTCCAACACAGCTTTCTTTTACATTTTCATAAGTGAGTTAAAGACTATCAGTTCACAGTTCAAGTTCTAAAGGGTCGCTTGTGCAGCTTTGACTGAGGTAGAGCAATCAGGACAATGTCTCTCAATATATATCACAGTCAGAAGTTTTTTTTTTTAAATAAGAAAGGCCATGGAGCTGAATAACTTGGCTGAAAAGACCTTTTTGTGTGTCCCTGATCTATTGTGGCATTGCCTGCTTTTCTTCTTCCAGGTGCCCAAACAAATGGACTGGACTTTCAGAGGCAGACTGTGCAAACAACAAGCGCAATCACCAACGCACACGCACAGGCCTTGCTCCAACAGGTATGATCTTTTTCTCTGAGCTCACACACACATTTGTGGTCTGTGTCATGGATGAAAGAGCTATAGGAATTTAAAGATGTCCCCAGGGACATAGTTCTCCTGTGTCTGAGTCACTAAACTGCCACTGTCTTGAACTGCATGTGTGATGATCATGTCTCGGAGTGACTGCTCAGGCTTTCCACCTGATGTCATGAATTGTTTTGTCTATTTGTATATAATGTGTGAGATTTGTCACAACTCTGAAGATTAAAGATTAAAAGCACAACGTTTTATCTCCTGGTTACAGGGGAAATTATTGGGCCCCATATGCTAATTAGCTGCTCTGCAGTTGCTCGGAAACAGATGGTTGAGAATATGCAAATCTATGCAGAATTTACATGTACTGCATAACCGTTTCGTTAATTAGCATACCCGCTCTGCTCTCCGCTTGAAGTCTCAGAAGGCTGCGGTATATTTATATCACCATACATGAGCATCAAACAAAAAGTATTTTTGCAAATACAATTTTGGGATGGTCTTAATCTAGATTTGCATTCTGACACCACTTCCACAATATTTGAAAAGCACTCTTTATTAGTCCTTATTTGCTTCTACTACCAAACTGGAACATTTAAACCAGGAAAAAAACATGACCCACATTGTGCAATAGAGTTCAACAGTGCTCTATCCGCTTTTTGTCAGCAGTCTTGGTTCCGGAAGTATATTTCCCACTAATTTTTTTTCCCACAGGGATTTGTTAAAGAGTTATAAGCCATGAATCAAACCAACCAACCAGCTACGAGGTGAATCAAAACATTTTATTTAAAAATCAGACAAAAATACAGTTACAAGACTGTGTGCTGAACGACTTCAATGAGGCGAAAGAAGAACAATCCCTTGCTTGAAGCATTGCGAATGACAAAATTGAATTAAAATCTATGGAGAGCAAAGGAAGACTATTACGCCTCACAGTACTTCATGTGCTAAAGTGTTCTTTTGCTGCGCGATTCTCTGAATGGAGATTTCTTTGCAGAATCATGGGTAATGTAGTTTGTCACCAAGGATTCTGTTTAAAAAATAATTATTTAAAAAATAAGTTGAAATAATGTGGGCCGACGTCTTCAACAAAAGCATATACCATCGTTGCTCACAGTAGGTCTGTCTTTAAAGGTTTATAAGTTATCGTTAAAAATCTATTCCTATGTGGTTAAAATGTATTGGATTTTTACTTCCGGAACCTGACTTGCACTTTCACGAATAATTCATTATGGGCCACAAATTGACTCACCCAGTGTTTTGTCCCTAGTCTAAATCTGTTTTGACCTCCAGACAGCAGGGTGTGCTGTCCTAGACATTTCTTTTCCATTTTTGAGGCGATAGAGACCATTTTTGTGTCATGAACAATCACCTTTAGGTTGAAACTTACTAGTCAATAGCACAAAATATATATTATATATTAGACATGTTAAGATCACATGATCAGCCAAATACTACATACTTTATGTATGTGACCCCCTATTAGGGCTGGGCGGTATATCGAGTTTGTACGATATATCGCTATACTTTTTTGAAACGATATGGAATGAGGCAATACCGTTTATATCGATACAGTAGTTTGATATGAGCACATATCAAAAAAATAGCGGAGGTCGCAGTGTGAGCTGCTGCAGTGAAAGTAGCTACATAGTACAATTTGTCCTAAACATGACACAAGCTTATATTAAGGGCTTCAAAATAACTGGTAGCCTAAGATATAGTTAACAAGTTTAAAGCAGCTTGTCCTGTCAGATGCTCTGACAGATAGCTACTGTTGCTGACTGACAGATAAATACTTGCGCTGATTAATGCGTTTGAGATGTGGTGCTTTCCTCAGTGCTCAACTTACATTTCACAGGTATATTCTCCATCTGTAAATGTTAGTCAAACAAATATGTCCATTTCACTGTCAGGAGAGGACGAGCTTCTGCAAGTGAATCTCCGCTAAAATTCAAGCTTCTGTGAACTAGCGCCGCCGCACGCATGCGCGTCAAACAGACGGAGCACAATAGAATAGTAGTTTATTGTTGGAGACAATAAATGTACTATATGTGGAATAAACCTACAAGTATATTTTAATGAAAAACAAAATATTTTTGCACATAATAAATTGCATAGCCTACATTACATTCACTATATTTGTTTCCATATCCTTCAATATCAACATTGTTTGTAGGATATCATTGGGCAGAATTTTTTTTTAAATAAATACAGATTTTCTTTATCCAAATAGAAAAACGTATAAAGTACCGAGATATATATCGCATATCACCATTTAACCAAAAAATACCGAGATATGATTTTTTGGCCATATCGCCCAGCCCTACCCCCTATTATCACACACGTTAATAATTGTATATTAAATATAAACAAGTATATTATTAATAGGGATGTCAATTTAGCGCATTAATTTGTTGCGATTAACTATGGGGTGAATTTGTATTTGCACTCGAACCACGCGTTAAAATGATTAATTATTGGAATGCATTTTTTTCTTCTTAATTTCACCAATAAAAATTGTTCCAAACAAAGCTACAGCAGAACTGTTGTGTTCTGCTTTTCAACACAGCAGTGTTTCATTACTGAATTAATCCGTGGTTTTTAACAAAATTGAGGGAGCCAATGATTCAGTGACCCATTTATAAAGTTTGAATAAATCTGTTGAATGATTGACTGAATGACTCACTCACTCATTAAGACAGCGACTTGCCGCCAACTACTGGCGGTTTAAGATTCATATTTAGAGTATCATTTCATTTTTCATTTATATACATGCCACCTCTGAGCTTCATTAAAAGAGTCTGTGCAAATATACCTAAATGGCCACATTGTAATAAATTCTTTGTTGAATCAAAATGTTGAATTCTAAAGCTAGTTTTTGAAATGTGTATTCAGTGCTCATCTAACACAATAATGACTTTACATAATCTTTTGGGGGTAATTTCTCAGCCATAATTGATGTGCTATTAATTAGATTAATTAATCTGCGCATGCAATTAGATGATAAACATGTAATCGCTTAACAGCCCTAATTATAAATCGTGGTTAACTGTAAATGTCACATTTCGACAATGGCAACTGAAAATACCTGCAACTGCCATGTCTGCATAAAATGATTGCTTATGCCTTTTAGTAAAATAAATATACTATAAATAGTTGGGGTAAAGCTTTTTGAATAATGGATTAATTTACACCGTAGGAATTCTATGGAAGACTGTAGAATTTTGTGTGGGCCTTGTGAAAAATGTGGTCATTATAGATAAAATGAATTCCTGTCTGTCTCTTTGTGTCCAGTTGACTTTGACTCCAGCGCAGCAGCAGTTATTGATACAGCAGGCTCAGGCTCAGCTCCTGGCAGCAGCGGTGCAGCATTCAGCCGGCCAGCAGAGTAGCACCACAGGAGCCAGCATCTCTGCCTCCGCTGCCACCCCCATCACCCTCTCTCAACCCATCCAGATCACACCTGTAAGAGAGACACACTTTCATTCGCTCCTAAAAGGGGCTTGTTTTATTTGAAACTATAATGACGTTTAATGTAAATTATCCAGTGATTTATTCAGTGCTTTTGCTTGGGGCTGAATTTTCTAGTGCTGTTGTTTTTAATGAAGAAGCCCCATTCTTTCATTATTATGTTTTCATTTGAATAAATGGCATTTCAGTAAAGGCAAAACAAATTGATTACAGACGTTAACGAAAAAGCTTTTGAAATGTAATCACTAATAAATTTAATTACATTACATTTAATTCACTTAATTACTAATAAATAATTCAAACTAACTGTAATTCACAGAGCTCAACAATAAGGATTTGCCCTGGCAGTTTTTTCACCTGTCCTGGGGATGTCTCAAGTGTTAAAGTGAAGTGTATTTTTAATTAACATTAATAACAAATGAAGTTTGAAAGATTTGGCTTTTATAAGGATTTATAATTTGCAGAAACAAAATACATGTCCCCCAGCTCTTCAGCTATTTACACGAAGAAAGCTGCATCTAAAGTATTTGGAGAATCATTGTACCCAAAATATGATAAAATTTCAAAGTTTTAAACACTTGTAAATTTGCAAAGAGGAGGAATTTACAAGGGATAAAATATTTCAGAAAACAGTGTATCATTTGCTTAAATTATATACTTTGCTGGTTTTAATGGAAACAGCAATTTCGTTTTCAAACAAAATTTAAAATGTCTTTACTGTCAAATCCATTGTAATTGATGAGGTTGTCATGGCCATAGCTGCACTGGTGCACTCTGGAAAAGTGGCGCATACTAACATTCTTCTTAATATGTGTGTTTGTGTGAAACAATGCAGCAGTTACAGCAGCTGCAACAGCAGCAGAACCTCAACCTGCAGCAGTTCGTGCTGGTCCAACCGGGCCACCACATCGCAACACAGCTGCAGCCCACGCAGTTCATCATCTCGCAGACGCCACAGGGCCAGCAGAGTGAGTCCTGTGTCCTCTTAACCTCCTCAGATCTCTTTGTCCCTCAGTATGATCAGTCTATCTGATTGTGTTGCCCTTCCTCTTGCACTAAACAGGTCTCCTGCAAGCCCAAAACCTTCTAACTCAACTACCTCAAAGCCAAGCCAACCTCCTGCATACCCAGCCAAGCATCACACTTGCCACACAGGTCAGGGATATCCCATTTACCCACTGGATCCATTTTTATTCAGTCCAATCCATTCCAGACTGTTATTTATTCTATTTTACTGCTCTTATTTGTTAAAAAAAAATCTTCAGAATCAGAAATTATTTTAATATGCTGATTTGGTGCTTTAGAAATATATATATTTTTATTATCAATGTTGAAAACTGTTGTGCTGCCTAAAACCGTTATACAGTTTTCAGGATTCTTTGATGAATAGAAAGTTTAAAGAATAGAACAGCATTTATTTGAGTCGGAAATCTTTTATAAATGTCTTTAGTGTCACTTTTGGATTATTTAATGCATCAGTGTGGAGAAAGGTGCATCCTTGGATAAATATTTTTTTCTACAAAAGGGGGCCCTGGCAGAAAAAGTTTGGGAACCAAACCAGTTAGACTATTGCCGTTTTCATGATTGTTTCTTTATAAAATTCAGCTGCTATTGCCCAACCATCCTTGTCTATCTCTATACATTTATCCTTACGCTTCACAGCCTGCGACACCCACACGCACGATAGCGGCGACCCCCATCCAATCCCTCGCTCACAGCCAGACGACACCAAAGCACATCGACACACCCAGCCTAGAGGAGCCCAGCGACCTGGAGGAGCTTGAGCAGTTTGCCAAGACCTTTAAACAGAGACGCATCAAACTGGGCTTCACGCAGGTAAACCAGGCTTCACTGGTCTCACAGTTTGTGTTGTCTGTTGTTGATTTCACTATTCAAAAGTCTCTGCTGTTTAGTCATCCAGGTCATTGCAGAAATCGTGACTTATTTTTAATAATTTAAAGACATTTCTTCTTTAACTGGGACTCATTAGGTGACTCGAGTAAATTTTGCCTGACATTTTCACTGTTTAAACGTTATTTTATGCTGTTGTGTTGTATGTTCCAGGGGGATGTTGGCCTTGCCATGGGAAAACTTTATGGAAATGACTTTAGCCAAACCACCATTTCTCGCTTTGAGGCCTTGAACCTGAGCTTTAAAAACATGTGCAAACTGAAGCCTCTTCTTGAAAAATGGCTCAATGATGCAGGTATATATTTTCTCTGCTCTTAGCTGTCTTTCTCCTTTTCCCTCCTCTCTCAAAATAACATTACATACCATGAAGAATGTTAGAAAGGATATGAAGATTCCTGTCGCATTCCTCTTTAGTTTTGGAGCTCCTCTCAGGGTACTACAGCTCTCAGCTCTCTTTTCTGAATGCGTCGGTGGTTTGTTATATAAAGCAAATCTTTAACTTGAATAATGTTGCTAAGTAGTACAGTTGATGCTCTGAGATATGTCTGCATTGCTGTTTGCCACAGCTGCTTATATCAGTCTCTCTTTGTGCTTTTGTGTGCGCTGTTTGTGCAGAGAACCAGACTTCTGAACAGGCCCTGTCCAGTCCCAGCTCTCTTGGCTCGCCTGGGCTGGGCATAGAGGGCTTGAACCGCCGCCGCAAGAAGAGGACCAGCATCGAGACCAACATCAGAGTGGCCTTAGAAAAGAGCTTTCTGGAGGTGAGCGACATCTCACATCAGAGCTTATTCTGAGACCGTGATTTTTAAGTTTTAATGGCACAAAATCATCCTTTGGTTTTCATGGTCAACGAAGACTCGAGGGTTTAACCCGACCACATGGCAATGACAATTAAAATTGTGACAGAAAAATGTTCTTATTATTAAACAATAATAAATTATTTAATAATAAACTCAGGGATTAAAGTTCTCCGTCGCTACGGCGGATTTCCGTTAATTGCAGCGAGTCTATGATGGATTTCCGTCAATTGCAGGGTTCCCGTCTGTCCTTAAAGGGTTAGTTCACCCAAAAATGAAAATTCTGTCAGTAATTACTCACCCTCATGTTGTTCCAACCCCGTAAGACCTTCGTTCATCTTCGGAACACAAATTAAGATATTTTTGATTAAATCTGAGAGCTGTCTCACTCCTCCATAGGCTTCTTAAAGGGATACTCCACTTTTTTTGGAAATAGGCTCATTTTACAACTCCCCCAGAGTTAAACTGTTGAGTTTTACCGTTTTTGAATCCATTCAGCCGATCTCCGGTTCTGGCGGTACCACTTTTAGCATAGCTTAGCATACATCATTGAAGTGGACAAGACCATTAGCATTTCTCATTAAAAAATGACCAAAGTGTTTTGATATTTTTCCTATTTAAAACTTGACTCTTCTGTAGTTACATCGTGCACTAAGACCGACGGAAAATGTAAAGTTGCGATTTTCTAGGCTGATATGGCTAGGAACTATACTCTCATTCCTGCGTAGTAATCAAGAAACTTTACTGCCGTACCATGAGTGCAGCAGGCGCAGGCAGTTAGTCCCGGTCACGTTGGAAATTATCGAGCTGGGGACTATTTTCAGGCGCTGCGTCATATCATTACGCCTGCTGCTCTCATGGTACGGCAGTAAAGTTTCTTGATTATTCACGTCCAATATGTCACGTCCGTAACATTGTTTTTTCCTCATAAATGCGTACACGAAAAATAAAATAAAGAACCAATTGAGAACCAACCCTTCTTCATACGGTAGTATTACTTTTGGTTTGTGCAGTGTAATTCACAGAATTAGGTAATAAAACAATATTTTGCCACCCTAAAAGTTAAAGATGTTTTGTGTCACGTCCGTAACGCATCTGTATTTCCCTCATATTAAATATAAAATGCATGTGTAGACTTATATTTTTCTAATGTCTGGACTCTTTTATTTAGGGAGTATGGATATATATACAGAAGTTTCAATATTGGTATTAAATGCATTTTCTGAGAATTGATTTTTCAAGTTTTGACTGCAAATGTCACGTCCATACCGCTGAAATTGCCCAATTTTAATTTATCCTCAACTAGTTTTGTGGTGTAGGTCTACGTATTTTATAATGTTAACTTCAAATAATAGTAATTTAAAGATGTGGTAGCATTGGATCTGGATGTGAAGGATAACTCTGGGAGTTGGAAGAGGTGTGTCGCGATCTGAGTAAGGCGACTTCGGTTTTATATCGCATATCGTTACAGCCCCAGTAAAATAGCTTTTAAAATATGCAAACTGGCAATATTAAAGCGGTTTAAAACATCTCCACTTAAAACACTATTGGTCTCGACTATTTAAATAAAGTTAAAGGAATATGACTTGGCCTGAAAAAAAGATTCCGTCAGAAGAATTTTTTTCACTTTAATCCCTGTAAACTATTTTCTGTAATTCAGTTTACACAGATTTATTTTGCATTTAATTCTTATTCTTATTATTTTATAATTTACACTTATTAATAAATACAATATGAAACTGAATTACAAACATATTGTTGTTACAATTTATTATTATTTATTGTACTTATTTAATACAAAATAATAATTTATGCTTTACACTATTATTGACGATAATAATTATGTATTTATAAACGGATATATATTACATGGTATTGTTCATTATTATTATTTTAATAATAATAATTAGTATTTCTGTGCAGTAATTCAGCTTACACAGATTTATTTTACATTGCTTTTTATTATTATCATCATTTATTATTATTAGTAGTGTACTTTTATTACTACTGTTTAATAATTTTACTGTAAAATAATAATTTCTGTAATTTAGTTTTTCACAGGTTTAAATTAAAATTTTTATTAGTATAGTTGTTGTAGTAGTGTACTTTTAAATAATTATTACCATTTTATAATAATAATTATAATAACAGTGTAATATGAAACTTAAATAATCATTACTATTTTATAATAATAGTAATAATAGTGTTCTATAACTGTGTAAATATAAAAAGCCTCCTCTTTAACTGAAAGATATGTAGTGTGAGAGTATTTTTGTGTACTGTTGTTTAAACATTTGATATTGTCCCAACCTCAAATTTTCCTGCTGTATTATTACCTCCTCAAACTGTGGACTGCAGGCTTGTAGGTCTTTGTGAATTGTTTTTGCCGTAAGGGCGTTTCTTGTGCATTTGCCCTTTTCAAGCAGAACCAAAAACCTACCTCTGAGGAGATCACCATGATCGCGGACCAGCTCAACATGGAGAAAGAGGTGATCCGAGTATGGTTCTGTAACCGCAGACAGAAAGAAAAGAGGATCAACCCACCCAGCAGTGGCAGCATCTGCAGCACCCCTATCAAAGCAATCTTTCCTCACACCACAACTCTGGTACGTCAAAATGCCCCCCCTTCATTCAGACCAACAGGTCTGACTGCTTAAAATAGTCCTAAACCTCTTCCTTCTATCCCCTGTTTCAGGTACCGAGTACAGCCAGTCTTGTGACCAGTAACACACCGACTACGATGACTGTCAACCCAATTATGTCTCTCACCAGCACTAGCGTCGGTTTCACTGGTAAGCAAGACTGAAATGATTGAAAAAATGCCTGAAACTTTCCTGTTGTTCACCTTACAATCTTTAAAAGATGATTTTCTTCCTGCAGGCACAACTATTGGCTCGGCCACCACTAACACGGCATCGGTCATCTCCACTGCACCTGTGATCACCACCGCAGCATCCTCTCCTTCGCTCAGCCCTTCCCCCAGCGCAGTGCAGACGTCCTCAGAGCAGGCTTCAGCTCAGGAGATAGTAGCGGCAGTAAGTCAGGCATCTTCCTCCCTGGCAAACACTCTGGGCACTGGGCAGGTGATGGTGGCGTCCCCCAGCCTCACGGCTGCTCTGCAAGGAGCCGCCCAGCTGCCCACCAGCGCTAGCCTCGCCGCCATGGCTGCAGCCGCTGGCCTCAACCCTGGGCTCATGGCATCCTCGCAGTTCAATCCTGGGTAAGTGTATTTTTATTTTTCTGACACGCTTGTAATGGGATATCTTTGTGTTTAATGTTAATTCCATCTTTTTTCTGGTGTTTCCTGTGCAGCGGGGCTCTTCTTAGTTTGGCGCCAGGTGGTCTCGGAAGCGCTTTGAGTCCAGCACTGATGAGCAACAGCACCTTGGCCACAATCCAAGGTGTGTGGAGCGGCAAGTACACTTGTATTTACATTATGGCTCTGCATGCAATTGTTAATCTTGGTGTCACCAGCTTGTTTTAAAGGGGTCATATAATGCCATTTTTGTACAAGCTAATATGATTCTTTAGGGTCTAAATTAAAAGTTTGTAATATACTTTAATTAAAAATTCTCATTAGTATTGTAAGAAAACACTTATTTTACCTGGTCAAAAACAGCTCTGTTTTCAGCACGCCGTTTCAGGGCATATGACTTTAAATGATAATGAGCTTTGCTCACCCCGCCTCTCTGTTCTGTGCTACACCGTTTGTAACTCAATAACACAATAACCATAACGCGTCGTTCAGTATAAACGTGGAATTATGAATTATATTGAGAACGTCATACATAGAAAACATGCCGTAATGTACCCTGAGTGTAAACCTTAGACGCATTCATTGTGAAGCATGCAGCTAGCGATTTGCAAAGATTAATATATTAATATAAAGTTTAATAAAACGTTTCACTCACTTCCGTTCTTCTGGAGATTCAGCAGGAACACGAATATCTGGTACCGATCCTTTTTAGCAAAGCTTCTTAGCAAATCCAGCTTTATACTGATCCTCGTTTATAAAGCAGTCTGGTGAGAAATGATTCGCGCAAACATGAACGCATTGACGTTGCTAGTGGAGAATATTCCCTTCGAAAACAAACTCAGCCACTGCGTCTTCGGCGGTTCGGATTTAGGAACATTAAAATGACTGCTGTGTTCGTTATTACACCCAAGAACAGAAACACCACAATCGCTTAGACGCCATTCTGCTCATAGACAGTGCTCCAGCATATCAACAATGACCGCGCCGGTCCGCGCCGCGCAGACTATGATTGACAGCTCCCTCATGAGCGAGGGCGGGTCTGTGTTGAAACCCTTCTGTCAATCAACAATCGCGGGAGGGGCGTGCGAGCTTGTGACGTTCACACTGTGACGTTCACCTTCACACGGTCGAACGGCTCGATTTGAGGCAGGGGAAAACATATAAGGAGATTAAAACAAAACCACTGGATGGATTTTTATCATTATATGATGGTTGTGTACAGACACTGCCAACACACATTTCAGTACAATCAACTTGTAAAAGTGCATGTACCATTATATGACCCCTTTAAATAACAAACTACTGTTCAAACGTTTGAGGTCTTTAATTAATTTATAATGTTACAAAAGATTTATATTTCAACAAAATGCTGTTCTTTTGAACTTTCTATTAGTTTTTTCAATTTATTCTGTCCTTGCTGAATAGAAGGATTAATTTATTTAAAAACAAAAAAACTAAAGCCATTGGAAGGCAAGCCTGCAACCGTTAGCCAAAAAAGTGTAACCGTTAACACTTTGGCGGTACACAGGGAAGGAGACGAGGCTGTTGTTTTTTTTTTTTTAAATGGATATCAAAGGAGGAGAGGCTTCACTACGATGAATAAATCGCTAAAATGTTTGTTAAAATCTTGCTAACATGTTTTACACTAAACAATACTTTCATTGGGAACTATATGTAGATTTTACCTTGATAAAAATGTTATTTTTTAAGAGAAGGCAGAGTAGGGAATGTTGCGACAGATAGGATTCGTTTAAGGCATTACCATCAGCAAATCTGTCGTAGGCATTATTATATTATATTATATTATATTATATTATATTATATTATATTATATTATATTATATTATATTATATTAAAAATCTGTCAAAAAGCCAAAATCTCTCAATGGCTTCCAGGTTTCAACAAATAAATTAGACTTGAATTGTAATGATTTATGACTGCAGTGCATTCCTAATAATGATACAATGCTTTTAATGAATAAAGGTAAACAAAATATAAAAATTGTAATAAATAAATGTATTCTTTATAGCTTTCAGATTTCAACAATTAAATTACTATTACAATTTTAGTGACTAGTATCACTACTATGTATGCCCAAAAAAGCTGTTTGTTAATGAACAGATTCAAATCTAATCTTATCTGTTTTTTAGGGCTGGTCCGAATACCATTTTTTGAGCTTCGAAGCTTCGGTAGTAATGAACATCGAATATTCAAAGCTTCGGAATCTCTATAGCCTATGTCTGTCTGTCCGTTTGCATTTTGATTATTTCGAGAACCGTTCATCCAAACGACTTCACAAGGGAGTGCAGTGTCATATTTGGTACAATATAGATAGACAGGTGAGACGCGGCACGTTCAGAATTAATAAAATTTTAATAAACTACAGAAGAGCGCGAGCGGGAAGCAGGCGCGCCTCACGCGAGCAGAGCTTATATGCTCCAAGAACACTGCACTAGTGATATAAAACACACACACACACACAGGTCTGTTAACTTAAGCAATATTTTTAACAAGGTAGTCTAATATTTTTCTCACTAACAAATAACTGACAAAGTAGGGTAGATTTAAATAAGGAAGCGGCGCGCCTCACGCGAGCAGGGCTTATATGCTCCGAGAATGGACACTGCACTAGTATAAAACACACACACACACACACAGGTCTTTTAACTTAAGCAATATTTTTAATAAGGTATAGTCTTATAATATTTTTCTCACTGACAAAGTAGGGTAGATTTAAATAAATAAAAACGAAATTTAAATAAATAAAAAACTAAATTTAAATAAATAAAAAATAAAAACGAAATTTAAATAAATAAAAACGAAATTTAAATAAATAAAAAATAAAAACGAAATTTAAATAAATAAAAATGAAATTTAAATAAATAAAAATGAAATTTAAATAAATAAAAACGAAATTGTGTCGTGACGTGCCAGTAAGATCTCAAAGTCTCCTATATTTCGCAGTAGATTAATTTAGATTGATAATAACGGGTAAAAAGGATAATACATTTTGTTTCTATTATTCTATTTTCCACAATGTCAAAGCAACGCAGCTTAACCCAAAATACAAGCTCAGGCATGCACTTCTGTCCATACAAACTCCGTTGTTCTCCGCTCTATAGCCAGATAATACTCCCGTTGCAGGAACACTTTTAGTAGTCCAAGAAGAAGCAAATATATTTGTTAAGAAGCTATAACGAAGTGATATGTTAAAGGTGCCCTAGAATGTTTTTATTTTTTATTTTATAATGTTTCCTGGGTTACCCTTATAATGTTAGTATGTTTTTTTAGATAAAAAATAATCATAATTTAGAAATAAATGGCATTTTTCCTAGCCTGATTTTAGCCTCTGATTTGAACACTGTTTGAAGGGGCGTGTCTGCTGTGGGATTCAGTGTAACCGCGGCCACTGCTGTGATTGGCTGACATGCTTGCATATGAAATAGCTACGCATTACATGTGAAACTCTCTCCCGAATACTTTTACTACTGCTATTATACGTTTTTACTATAACAGCTATCGAGATTAACGAGTCGTGAGATGTTTTTAAAGTATTTAGATCTATTCCCATCACATAAAATGTTGCCGTGATGAGCATTGAGCAGATGACAGTGTGTTGATCGCGAGAATGAAGATCTTATCATTGCAAAGCAGTTTCTGCACTCTCTCTGCTTTCACCAATGCAAACACGATGTAAATACAGTAAGAGCTTCGTTGTGCAGTAACGTGCGTCATTGATTTCATAACGAGTTTGGCAAGTGTCCAGAAACTCGCGCTGTGTGGAAAGATTGTTCTTTGATCGCTTTCTGTATATAATTTGTTAACAATTTAAATACGATTATTTTCATCCTACTAAAAGAAACGATGTGAAGCTGATATTTTAGTCACTGGCTTGACTTACTGATGCATAAACAGTATTGAACGATTTTGAGAGAAAGATTACCTGTCTGAACTTGAACAATTACACATCAGAAAGTGTTGCTTGGTAGCTCGATCCGAGGCCAGCTCTGTATTGGCCCAAGTTGAGGAAACAGTCGGTGAAATGTTTGAAAATTTCCAGAGAAAATAAAATTAACCCATTGTTTGTTCAGAGGCTCAGATGAAGGAACTAAAAAATACTTTTGTGTTCATGTGTACATCCACACTGAGCAACTGCCATGCTTCGGCTGCGCAGTTCCGCCTGGCATTGAGGGCTGGCATTATGCAAATATTTGGAGGCGTACATATTAATGATCCCGACTATTGCGTCACAGTCGGTATTGTGTGGAGAACCGACCGTTTTTCAGGGGTGTTTTTCATAAACGTGAATTAAATGAGAACGCGAAAACAGTCCAGTTTGAGATTCACTCTATGTCATGTCCATGCACTGAACTCTTGTTATTTGACTTTGATGAGTTAACCGAGAGTTAACCTGATTAATGAGAACCGTTTCGAGGGGGATGCCAGGTGTGCAAAAAACAAACAAAAAAAAGACGAATATTCGAATGTCACATTTTCAAATCGAATACCAACCCACCGAACGAATATTCGGATATTCGGGTCTAGCCCTAGTGTTTTTATGCGCACTGTAGTGACCAGAAATATGAGCTTATAGCAATTTGTGCTGTTTATTTTCCGCTTAGTAAAGCACATTCCACAAACATTGCAGTCCTACTGTAGGTTTACTAGCGATATAACACCAAATATAGAACATTATTCACAAGACAAACGCGCTAATCCACAAGAAACTGTTTAACATAAGCTGTAACTGATGTCACTGTCATTATATGATAGGCTGAGGTGCCTCACGTGATCCAAGATAGCCGTTACACTTTTTACAATAATAAAGAGTTACATACCCTTTCATCTCACAATAATAGGACAATCTCTGAAAAAACTTACTGACCCCAAACTTTTAAATGGCAGTATAAGTTATCTGTTTGTAAAACAAACATGTTTTTAGTGGCACTGGTGGGGTAACTCAAACTCGGTCCTGGAGGGCCACTGTCCTGCAGAGTTTAGCTCCAACCCTGATCAAACACACCTGAGCAAGCTAATCAAGGTCTTCAGGATCACTAGAAACTCACAGGTAGGTGTGTTTGATCAGGGTTGGAGCTAAACTCTGCAGGACAGTGGCCCTCCAGGACCGAGTTTAAGAAGCCCTCAAAAGCGTTCTGCATGCAACATATTTGCGTACAATTCAAACATTGTAAATTACTTATTTGCATTAAATGCAAATCACCTTGGGTGCATTTGGAATGCCATTTTGTAGTTTTGTTGAAAAAATATAATTTTTTTTGTGGGGCTGTTGATTTAACATGTTAATTTGGTGTGATTTAATTATGGAAAAAATAATGTGTTAAAATTCTTAGCGTTTACCATGCATTGTAAGAATACTTGACCTTTGTCTGTTGTTAAAAACGTATACAAATTAGCTCAAATATTTCATAAATGAACATGCAAGGAATCTGAAGAACTGTAAAAAGAGGTGTGAACCATCTTATCAGTCAAAATTCCTATATTGCTGCATCTCTGTTCTAGTAATTTATTTAGTTTATTTAGGCAACTGCTCTGTTTCCAACACCTGAAGTTCTAATATTGTTCTGTCTTCCTCTTTAGCTCTGGCATCTAGTGGCACTCTGCCCATTACATCACTGGACGGGAGCGGGAACTTTCTGTTTGCCAACACCAGCGCTGGCAGTACCCCTAACCTCATGACGACACCGCTCTTTCTGAACCCTCAGAACTTGTCACTGCTTGCCAGTAACCCGGTCAGCTTAATGTCTGCGGGAGGGGCTGGGGGTGCTGCCGGAGCCCTCAATCTGCACATCACCGCTGATGCCCACCAGAGCGCTGTTACCACGGCAACTATGCCCGCCTCCACCATCACCACGGCCTCTAAGGCCCAGTGAAAGTTTAACCCACTCCTCTCCTCTTCTAGACCCCTTTCTTTAATCTCTTGCTACCACCAAAAACAAACCCACTAAAAAGGATTTGATGTTGTTTTAACGTTATTTTACCGTTTAAGTTTGTATGTTCTAACTTTTCAGATATCTTTTTCACACATTACTCTACGTTGTTTGGACCTCATTGTCGGGTTGACTTCAACCAAATCAACAATAAGCGAATGTTGGCGTCACCACAGAGCTTGCATCAGGAGAGCAGAAACCTCCCTGGACATTGTTGCAAGTCTCTGTGTGACGCAAAAGCATATTCGTTTCAGCAAACTCACTCTCTCCCATTTTCACATTATACCTCTTCTTCAGAGGTACTTCTGAAATGCTTTTAACCAAAAAACTTTGTTTACTCTGTGTTGAATGATACCTTCTTACTGCTGACAGTAACCTCTTCTTCACCGTAGAAAAAGGACACCTTATATTCTTCTGTCTATGATCTCTTCTCTTTCCACTGGAGATCCTGCTTTACAGATGTTCCGGTCCTCCTGGAACATCTCCTTTTTAGATGTACATCATTTATTTTTGTCAAACAGTGGGTTAGCTTTATGTCCTATATCTTACTAACTTGTGGTTACAAGGCTTTAAATGGAGTAATAAGCGGCTGTGATGCGGTTTCATTGCTTTAAGGAATCGTTCGACTGGCCTTTCTTTCTAGTGAATATTGTTTTTGTATAATTTCGTAGTTTACTCAGTAGCAGAAGACTAGTCTGGGTCTGAATTCTGACCTAGTCACAGGCTTATTTAATACTAAAAGCTTTAACGAATTATGAGATGATTCGTCAAGGAGGAGTTGTTCAGCGTGGGCAACAGTGACTGAGCACAGTGCCGTCTACTTTGGAGCTTCAGTAACTCAGAGCTCACAACTCTTACGTTAGCGTCAGGACTGTGTAACCACGTAAGGTAAACCTCCTCAAGGTCTTCCTAACATGGGATGTACTTTTGGTATCACCACCTGATTGTGAAGGTGTTGGTCAAGCGAGTTGGGGTGGATGATATTCAAGTTTGTTTTTGTTTTTTAGGGTCTTTGATTTTCTACTTGTGCACAGTATCTGTACCAAAAAACTGGATTTGAGAACAGAAGTTCTGCTAAAAACCGAGCAGACTGCAGTCACGCTTTAAGAGGTCTTTATTTCGGAGGTCTTTGTATTGCCTCCATTTCAAGATATACCAAAAATCTTTGTTATACCTGTTGCTGTATATTGCTACTGTAGCGTAGTTTAAGCCTAAATATTTATGAGCAAAGGCTCTCGGTAGACCACAGGAAATATAATGCAATATTTTGATCTTTTCCAAAGACGAAAACAGTTATTTTCTTTTTCTTTTTTTTTGTTGAGATGGCTGTCCCTCCTGTTTTGTAGTATCAGTGCAACTAACCAAATAGATTCGAGTCGAGGTGAGAGTAGGGCGTGATACTACAGCAAAGTACCAGTTTGAGGTTTGGGATTGTCCCTTCTGCGAGTAATTCAAGAGGACTTTGAGTGAGAAAAATGGGGGAGTCTTCTTCCCATTGTTTCAGATAATTGAAAATTGTTAACGTGCGTGTGTTGGAAGTAATGCAAGTGTGTTCTTACCTGACAGGCTTTTTGAATATTTCCCTTTTTTGTAGTTACAAGGTACCAGATTCAGTCCTCTGTAAAATACACTTCTCGTCCCCAGGCCCAATGTGCTGGCTATACCATAGAGCAGTGGTTTTCAAACCAGGTCCTGGGGACCCACGGCTCTACACATTTTGTATGTCTTTCTTATCTGACACAGTCAGTTGAGTTCTCCTAATGAGCTGATGATCTGTATCTGGTGTGTTAAATAAGGTAGACATACAAAATGTGCAGAGCGATGGGTCCCCAGGACCAGGATTGAAAGCCATTGCCATAGAGCTTTAGTTCCTAACCCTGGTCCTGGAGTACCCCCAGCACATTTTAGATGTCTTCCTAATCAAACACGCCTGATTCAACTCATCAGCTTGTTAGTAAAGACTCCAAGACCTCAGATGGGTGTGTCAAATAAGAGATACATCAAAAATGTGCACTGATGGGGGTGCTCCAGGCTCAGGGTTGGCAACCACAGCCATGTAGGACAGTGCTGGGTCTGAAATATCCGTTATAATGGGGCGGGAACATAATTAGGGGGTTTAGGCGGATGGTCTGTTTTGTTTTTCCCTACCAATGTAATGCAGCCATGATGTAAAGCTTGAACCAAAGTCGATTTCTCACTAGCTGCTGTGCCTGTGTGGGCCAGTGCAATGCTGACCACACTTTCACTACTCACTACTGACAAACTTTACCATTTATTACTCTTCTTTTAAACCCTATTCATTCATCTTGCATTGACCAACAAATCGTGTTTGGCTTGATGAAGAAATATACCCTCTCTAGCGCAGCGCTAACTTGCTTTAGCTCTCGATATCGAAGCATTTAACGATCCAAAGAGAATCTTAAGGGCCTTGTGTTTAAGTGCTGTTGAGATTTTGGGAGTCTGTGTCCTTCGTTTCATTCATTCACCTACTCGGTGAGTCTTTGTTTTGGATGTGATCTCTTGGGTCTCAACACTGATGCTGTGTTTCAACAAATGAATAGCAATAGAAATATCAAGAGTCCACCAAGATAATTTAATTTAAAATCCAGAAAAACCTGTGGAAGTGCAAAAAGGCCCTGAAATTGCTCCATGGGACAAGGTAGATTTTTAAGTATTGCATTGGTACATTGTCTAGACTTGGATTTTATTTCTTAAATCACCAATAAATACAGGCATTCTGGGAGAATTACGGTAGTATTTCATTTCTCTAGCATTGCTTTTAACTCTGTCACATTTTTTTATTCTGTCACAAAGAGATCAGAGTCTCCCCTTATTGTCCCTTTTGTGGTTTGTTACTGTGTTCCTTTTCTGTAATTTTTTTTATGACTCTCTTTTTGTTAGCATCGCTATTTGTTTTATTGTAATATGATTTGAAATACCTCAGCAGCACTTGCATGAAAGGTTCACTTTAGGCAAAACACCAGAAGTCAACTCCAGAATGTACAAAAGCTGTTTCTAACAGTCCATTTTTAAATGACCAACGTGTAAAACAAAACTACAAAGTATAACAGGAAAATCTGTAATAATAATGTCACATAAGTCTACTACTGCTATTTCAAGTACTACTACTTAAAGGGTTTGTCCAGGTTAACTTGTAATATTTTGTTATCCTACTTGCCAAAGTAAAAAAAAAAGCCTTTGTCTTTGCGGCTGGGTCTTGTTGCTGCTCATTCCGCTGGTTCTGTCCGGAAATTTCAACGTAGCCTCTCTGGATGTGTAGATTTATGTGTTGTTTTGCGCATTAGTGTCATTACCCGGTGGTCGCCGGGACTGTGGGGAGTTACTGATATATTTATCTGAGGAATGACTCAAGATTAGAGAACTTCTTTTCTAAATTCTATATATATTCACTTATGTAAGATGCTCATATTTTATATTTGAACTTATATCTAGTTTGAATGTAGTGTTTTTGTCATGCTTATTCACTAAAAGGAAAAAATAACAAAAAATTACTTCATTTATATGATAGCTATTCTAAGAAAAAAAGTCAAGACCAAAAATCGCGACCACACCCTTGTGATGTGGGAGTGGCTGTTGTGTGCCCCGCCCACATTAACACGTTTGTTTGAGTGGGTGGGGCTTGTGATGGTGCTCTAAAGGAAAGCCCCCAGCTTTAGTTGATGTAACAGACTTGATAGCACCAAACTACTCTTAATTTTTATTTTTTTATTTTTTTTACATTTGGTTGTTGTTTTTGCTTTTTTATGGATTTCATTTGCCATGTTGCTTTTTAACAATCTTTTACAATCATTTGAATTTAATTACTTTATGCCTTTTTTTGTATATCATGAGGGAGCAACGTCACTGGCTTTCTTTGTTTGACAAACTTGCGTTTATCATTTATGCCTTACTATTATTTCAGAGTTTGACACATTGTAGCAAACTGTAATATGTTGATGTTACAGATGATTTTGTTTGGTTATGAATTTGTGTGTGCGTGCATGAGTGAAAGATGATGCAACAGGGCATGCACCAATGTCAAAACTCACACGGTGCATATCAACCATGAAAATAACGCTGTGAGTTTTATTTGTGTTTTGTGATATTTTGGAAGTGTTTTTACCTATTATGTAGGTATAATTCAAGGCTGTTGGATACCTGTTGAAAGCTTTACTAAAAACTCAACTCCAGCTGATATGTAGGGGGCGCTAGTGGTGCATTACTTTGAAAGATGATATTTTAGAGAGGTTCTGTCTGAGGTCATATCTCAAGTGACTCATTTTTTCGGAAATACAGGATTTTTTTTTGTAAGTGGATATAAGGAAGCATCATACATCATTTGATGCAATTGACCACTTGGCTGTAAATGATATCCCTTTGAACCTGTGTGCACATGAGATGTTTCAGATGGGATTTACACAAGGGTGTTGAACCTGGCAACAGCTCTGTACATGTGAAGTTGTTGCGGATCCTGTTTTTGGCACTTGATTTTGGCGTGTGTGGATGCTCTGACTTGTGATTGGATAGTTTCTTGATTGTAGCAGGGTTTGCCACTGTAGACCCTTAGTCTAGTAACAAAATAGGATAGTTGCAGAAGAGGTCATGCGCCAGAGAGCCGAGCGAGAGCTGGTCTGAGTAAAGGAGCTGTTGTATACCTCATTTATAACTCGAAACTGAGTAAAAACTTGCTTTAATCTACTTCAAAAGATGGAATAAAAAAAAACAAAAAACAAAGATCTGTCCTAGAACAGAAGCCTGCAGATGTCTGTTTAAAGTTTAGAGTGAGGAACCGGAGGATACCTAGAAGGCTGCACAAGCTCATGCATATAGGAAGCCCATCCCACTTATTTATATTTAACTTTTATAGAAATTTAAGTTCTCCTTATTCATTTTATACCAAAGCTTTTTTTTATGATTTGACAATCGTCGCCTTATGAAACCCCAAAAACTATTCTGAATCTTTCGCATGGTGTGCGCTGTTCGTTCTGGGTTTGCTTGTTCCTCACCTTCTCAGTGGTAACCAAAGACTTTCAAAGTGATTGTATGGACTAAACTCTCTCCTAGTTCCCTGCCTCAACCATTAGCTTGGGGTTTGAGATCATCGATCAAAGCATGTGGCTGAGTGGGCGGGGTTTAGTAGAAAGAGGAAGAAAAACAGCTCTGCCGGCTTCTGGAAAGGACTTAAAGTAACCCCTCACGGGCTGGGTGATGTTTATTAATATACGCTGAAGGATGTCCTGGGCTCACTGCAACCTGCTCAGGATAAACTGTCCTCTGGAGTTCCACTCTGTGGCTGCAGCAAGGCAAAACTGTTTCTATGATTGTCTACAGAAAACATGCAACGTCTCTCCATAGTCGTCTTTTAGGTGCCGTCGTCCCGTGGTTTCGCTGTTCTGTCGATGTCTTTATCTAGCTTTGCTGTTTCCACTGTCATGATTTTAATTGGTTTGATCAGCTGTGCATCAACTATGCATCGTTGTCCTCCATCCTGCAAGGGCGGCGTCCGTGTGACACGGTCCTTTTCAGATGGATTTTGATCTTTTTATTGCAAGTGGAGGGTCCAAAGCAACTATAAGCTCTATCCCAAAGCAAAAATATCCAAATATGAAATGTTTTACAAATGCAGATACCAAAGATTCCTCTTCCTTCCCAAACCCTTCAGCTTGTGTATTAAGAAACAGAACCCAGCTCTGACAGTAGTCCTAACCTCAGTAATCCAAAGCTTAGATGTATATTTTGGTATTTTCCTGAGATGCTTATGGGGGAAAAAAGTGTGTCGTTTTTTTAATTTTCTTGTTCGTTGGATCTGTTGCTCTTTTTCTGTCACAGCATGGAATTTAACTGCAAAACTGTCTTACTGTAGGTTAAAGAAATAGTATTTTTGTATGTTTTTGGATGTGTCAATGTATGTGATATCAGTTTCACTGCCCAACTTATCATTGTTTTTAAAACAAAAGACAGAAAAAAGGTTAAGTTAAAAAAAAAGACAATGTACATAATACTTTAGTCATTGGTTTCAAAAGAAATCTCTCTATACTCTCATTTCCATATTTCCTATGGCTAAAGCTCAAGGAATGTTCCATTTTTCACTCTGTCTCATACTGTAGATTGTACTTCTATATCTCCCTTCAGAACGCTGTAACTCACTGTTGTAATAGTGATGATTGGTTGGGTTCTGAGTATCACTACAGACCTGAACTCTAGTGCCACTCGTGGCCTGCTATCAAGCGAACATACACCCAAGACTGAACGCTAAATGGCTACATCGCTGTAGCTTAGAACTGAATGATTGTGTAGAATATAAGTATGTGAATCAGGATACATGGTAGATTTGATGCATTTGTCTGCTGTATTTTGTTTGTTTTTTATATATATATAAAGATAATCTTTTACTGTAACTGTACAGTTCTCTTTTGTTGTAAACATCATTAAACCATTTTCCAAGTGTTTTAATATTCTAATAAGTCTTTGGTCTTTTAATATTTGCCATATTTCGGATCATGGAGGAACTTACAGAATTGATAATAATTTTATTTCATTTTACCCTTGTTTTACAGTAATCAGTCAAATGGACTATTTTACACACATATGTAGAAAATAAGAGCACTGTCTCCTACCTCTCCAGACAGAGGTCTAATTCTTAAATTGCCTTGTAAAATTGCTTTGAAATGATCTTTTCCTGCCTTGCATTAACATACAAGATCCTCTATTGCAACCAAAAATTGCATATATACTATATATACACGTACATACATCATAACATACATCACACACAGCCGTTCGAAAGTTTGGGGTCGGTAAGATTATTTAAAATGTTTTTGAAAAGTCTCAAAGCTTGTTTGATTTAATTTTTATTGTTACATGGTAATTCTATTTTAATATCTTTTAAAATGTAATTCATTCCTGGGTTGGAAAAGCTGAAGCCATTACTCCAGTCTTCAGTGTCACATGATTCTTTAGAAATCAAACTAATATGCTGATTTGGCGCACACAAAACATTTCTTATCAATGTTGAAAATCGTTGTGCTGCTTAATGTTTTTGTGGAAACCATGATACATTTTTTCAGGATTCTTTAAAGAATAGAAAGTAAAACAAAACAAAAACATTTTGAAATATAAATCTTTTCTTTACCGTCACTTTTTTAAAATCTCAATGCATCCATGCTGAATTATAGTATTTATTTCTATAAAAAAATGTAATCTTACTGACCCCAAACTTTTGAGGATATGTATAAAGCAAGACACATAAATGCATCCAACAAAGATACACAGTTTATCTGTAAGTTGGAAGATATACAAATTGCTCCTGAGGTTGTGCTGTGTGTTAATTGTGTGTTGTGGGAAAAGTTTCCATCTCCACAGCCTCGGCTGCATCCCTTTTTCTCCCTGTTCGAGCCTTTAAAGGAATAAACCAATAACATGAACTGATGAATTTTGGCTTTTAACAAAACTGCAGTCTGTGTAAAAACCTACCAAGCAGTGCAATGTTTTGATTACCTAGAACACTGATAACAGATGCTTAAGTAAATATAGAGAGTAAAATAGGGAAGAGAAACTAGATTAAAAAAAGCTCGAATGTATATAATTTGTAAATAGATATAATGTAATATACAAAGTGGCCATAAAAAGGATATTTTTATGTAAAAAAAAAATGTATGAATGCCATTTAAGTAGCTATAGGCCTATATCAAATCAAGATTTTAAAACGAATTGTTACATTACCTCATCAGGTTTGCTCTTGGCTTTGCGAGCCTGCAGAAATAGAAAATAATTAGCAATTTATGCTGATTTGCCAACTAAGCATAGTAAGGATATTATGCCTCATCATTGGGTGAAATGATTCATTATCCGGTACAACAACCCACACAGTTTCTCATATCCGTGTACTTACTTTGGCTCCTTTTGGTCTTATTTCCTGGTATTCATCATTTCTTGCTCCTCTTAGTTCCTAGAAAATACACCAACCACCATTGAGGAACGATCAACAAATGTAAGTGCACAACTATAAACAACCACAGGAGGGCAGCAGGGATTAAGCTGTCGCTTTACCATGAGAAGAAAATTGTATCTGGTTAAATGTATCTGTTTCTCAGATCTTTTCCACATCCTTTCTGACAAATAAGTGGTTTAACTTCTTACCTGATAATGTGTCTCTGGCTCCCGTCTTCTAATCTGAAATATGTTGATATTGATTAGATGAAGGTAGGCATCTAAAAACAACTTTTTCTTTCCTTCAAAATGGCAATTTCACGTTTATATAATGTATCAGATTACAAACAGGATTGGATATCATGACATGAAGTAGGCCTAAAGTCTGTGTACAATACACTATATTTGCTGTTAACGCACTGATATGCTCAACCTGCCATGTGGCTAATTTAAATAGGCTATATTAGTTAAATTAAATGAAAACGTAAAATAATCTCACCGGTCTATCCAGTTGCTGATAATCGGAACTCATCTGAGGCAGATCCAAGTCCTAAGAAATACAGCACACACATTTTGTATAAAGTCTTTATTCATCGGGTCATTCATGTTAAGTAGTGCTATTTGCATTTTGTCGCGTTAAAAATCAATATGATTCTGTTGTAATTTAACTATTTTAATATAGGGTTAAACCATACTTTTAGAAGCTCTGTCCAAGCTCCTACTCTCGAAATTAATGTTTAGCGTGTGTTTGTGTGTGCAAACATATTATTTTTTTTTGTTATTTACTTATCCTCACGTTGTTCCAAACATGTATGAATTTATTTCTTCTGCTGAACAAAAAATGAAGATATTTTGAAAAAATATGGGTAACCAAACAAAGTTGATGGGCCCCACTGACTGAAACATATGGAAGTCAATAGGGCCCATCAACTGTTTGGTTACCCATATTCTTCAAAATATCTTCTTTTTTGGAAGGTAGGCCTACTATATCTATTTGTTTTTTACATTTAAGTATTTATGTTAAATTTTTTCCCAACCATTTCATTAACCACAAATGTTAGATTTAAAGTTAGACAGGGGCCCCAGGGCTCATATTTTCACCTGGCGATAAAGACCCTAGCGAACAGATATCGCCAAAGCCGTTGAACGCTGTTATTGTGGTAATAGTACAGCGCTCAACGCTCAAATGTTTATTGTTAGGATCAAAACAGCTCGACAAAACATTAACACTGCCATTATTTATCACTTTATTATGTCTTTACATATTAAATATACATCACATCACTTTAAAATAGCTAACTGTAAGCTGTTCTAGGGGTGCCAAAAAGACAATTTGTGTTGCTTGAGATGAAACTCAACAGATAGCCAAAGTAACACTTAATGTTAAAAAAGTTTTTGATTATAGAAAGGTAAAAGGAAGTAACTATAGCCTAATAAATACATTTATATGTTCAGAAGTGCATAGCAACAATGCACATCACAAATATAGCAACATCCATCCAAACAAAATTGTTTAAAACTCCTACCTATGTTCACTTAATTGTGACTAACTAATAAATATTATTTTCACATTTAAAATTGAGTTTAATGTTTTATCAAATATAAAGCACTTTCATAGTAGGAACACATGTCAACACATGAAGTACATTTTGAACCTTGAACATGATCTGTGAGATATGTATTAATGATAACTCACTGTATAGACAGGCTCATTGGGGTTATGGGCCGGGGTTGCAGGCTCTGGAGGAACAGGCCCTTCCTTTGTAAACTAAGCATACAAGGCAGAACACAAGTTAGTGGTTAAAACCGTGAGGTAAATTTCTTCACTTGGAACAAACTGTGCATGCTAGAGCTCAACTTACCTTCTCTCGGAAGTAGAGAGCAGTAAAAATGATAGAATACAGCAGGAGAAAAACATCTAAAATATAGCAATTTGTTGGGTCGCTCAAAGAGGCCTCTGCGAACAGAACAAACCATTTAAAAAGACTTTCATTACTAAAACTCAACAAAAATGTGGTGGCTCTTCTTATTTATCGAGGTTTTGAATTATTTGTCTCCTTTCCCAAGTAGTTGGTTTTGTAATGTTAATAAAACAAGAAAGAATTGAAAAATGAGAAAGACAGTCAATTTATGAGAAGCACCTCTAGAACCTAAACCGCCAGATGATTAAATACAGAGATAAATGTTATATATTTAGATTACAGTACATTAAGAGGTTAATTTAATTTTGAGGAAACTAAGAATTTCTGTATCCCAAGGCTTTTCATGTCTAGTTCTGGAATCACTGTTTAATACGAAGACTTCCTCTCATGTTAATTCTTGCAAAACATATTTAAGTGTGGGTTTAATCCGAGGCAGCCAAATGATCTGCTAGATAACGTCGAGAACACTTTAACTCATCAACTATCAGGATGAATAGAATGCAAACTGGCTTTACAAAAATAAACCACTGAGACCAGTTAAAACTTCTTGACATAATTGAGGAATCGATCAAAGCTGAATGGATCACATTTTACAGTATTTTAGATGGTGACCTAACAGTGCACACTTTATAGAACATTTAATCGGATAATACTGCTCAATATGCCGTTTACGGGCTTCAGGAAACATCTAATAATCTCAAACATTGTCTATAGATTTATTTTGCCTTGCTTATACGAGATCTCTTATAAACAAGGCAAAATAAATCTATAGACAATGTTTGAGATTATTAGATGTTTCTTGAAGCCCGTAAATGTCTTGATTGGGCAGACAAGTATAAATTCCTTTTTTTAATAAAACATAATTATGAGCAAGTGTGGTTTGAAATAACTGTGGATATGAAAATGTAACTATATGCACCATGTTTGCCAAAAATTCAACTAAACAGACAAAACTGGAGATACAATGCCTTCGAATTTAAATTCATGGCATTTTCATACGCAATATATTGCGTTCATTATTATCCCTCTTAAAAAGTATAAAAGGGGCCACATCCAAAAACTTTACGAATAGGCTATTGTATTGCAATCTATTAATTTAGCAAGGTTTAGTGGATAAACTTCAATATCTAACTTTAATCAATTACTTTTAACTGTAATCAGTTCTTAAAGATGTCAAGACATTCTTGCACTAATGATACCTATCATTAGGACAAATAAAAAAACAACACTCAAATAATTAGACAAAGATAATTGCAGGACTCTCGTACCAAATAAACCTTGCTCTAGTCAACCCACCACGCCACTTCTTTTGAAAAATATAAATAATGTTTCGGATAGGTAGATAAAAGACATTAAAAGAAAGTAACTAAAACTTGGCTTGTTTGGGAGCCTACTGAAACATGGTCCAGTAATATTTTAGATCATTCCTCCATAATTAATAAAGAGTCTCATTCCTCACTCTCGTCTGTCATTTATTTCCACATTAAGAACATTGAGTGGGTCACAAAACAGTCCTTTATGAAAAAAACAAAACCCTGCACTCATGCCTTCCTGTTAGAGGCAACAGGGGCCCAAGCTCCTCTACCTGTCTCTCTGTGATCTCTGTGTAAATGTGTGTGTGTGTAATCTAGTTTGGTGGTTTCTCTGCATGAGTCTAGTTAAGTGCAAGAATGAGCACAAAAGAGTGAAGGTCCTGTTGCATCACTGCAGATCAAATAGGTGTTAATGGGGGCCGGTGGATGAAGCTTAGCAAACTGACCACACATTTCACATGCCAAACTAAATTTTTTCTGCAAGGGCATTGCATACAGAAACAAGGACTTATTAACAATCAATATAAAGTATAAAGGTCTAGTCATATCAAATCAAATCTTTACACATTTATCACTAATGCATTCCTTATCATAAGCTGTGTTTCTATGTTTCTGCATTGCTTCATATAAAAGAATGATAAACACAAGAAGGTGCTTTAGATAGATTAGAAATTTAAAATCGGTAGTAAAAAAGATTCTAGGCTTTATCATTTTAAGACCCTAATTACATTGAAGAAGCTATTAATGCTAAAATAAAGTTGTTTACCTAGTGTGATTCAATTCAATGACAGTTATCAAAACTGATGAATTAAGAAAAATAGGCATAGTTTTATAAATTAGGCTGTACTGACTGTTAAGAGAGGATTATTATATACACCAGATTCAATGATTTTGCAATTCTTTCCAAATACCAGAAATATCTAGTAGATGTGGATTTGAATGTGGTTGTGCATTCAAAACATGTAAAGGGTTACGCCGTCTATCTAATTGCCTAATTATACATTACTGAATACATAATCGGCTTGTGCATGTTTTGTTGCTGTATCTGTTTTAGTATAACTTTTAAAATAATAATTACAACAACCACTACACATAATAATAATAAAATTATTATAACAATTCCTTGCTAATTTATTATTTATTTTAAATTCAATATGGGAAATAAAAAGTATCCTATACTTTGGGTGTCTACGCGGTCGTTAATGTTGTTGACTTTTGAAAAGCCGCCATTTACTGATCTTTCAATTTTGGCTTCAGGTTTCGCAAAAGGAGAGTGTAGGTTTTCGAGTTGCTTTTGTTGGATCCTCGTTTTTTTAATCTCAGGAAACAACATTTAAACATAAAGATGACAGTTACACACCATCATAGCACTACTGAAAAGCCTGTCTTTCTTCAAAAACTTTCATCTTTTAGACATTATGTTGCAAACAAGTATATTGCACTTAAAACTGTTGTAACATGCCATGCTACAATTCTTGCTGGTTGTGCATGGAAACTAAAATGGCCACATGAAGAGGTGTATGACCCCAATCTTTCTTTACAGGAGATAATGTGCGCGCACACACACACACATAAACATAATAAAATTTTTATAATATTCAATTTCTAAACATTTACTTAAATGACAAGTACATATTTCACAAAGGCCGAGACCACAAACCATCAAAACTCTGCGCTGAATGTTATATATTTTTGATACCCTGTGCAACAAATATGTAAAGAGAGAAAGGATTTTACCTGCAGAAGACACATGTGTGGCCAAGAACAATACAGTGGTTGTCCTGCTCATTTCCATTACATTCCCTGAAACTATATTTCTGTAGATGCCGTTCCTTCCTGTTGCTTGGCCTATAAGTGATGTGCAACAGTTTTTTTAGCCTTTCTGTTTTGATTGCTTCTACTGTCAACTTTTACCTAACAGGAAGTGGCCCTAGCCCTAGGTTTTCTGTTCTAGTGAATGACAACCACTGCCTCCACCAAAGAGTTGTCCTCTCATCTCAAAAAAGTCTAACCATTTCCTGTATATTTTTAGACCCTCACGCTATAAGTCGTCTTTCACCAGTGTTGCAGGTTACTTCACATGCAGCCACTGTCTGTTGAATTTGTTGTTTCCTTTTTTAACAACGTTGGACTGTAAACAAATTTGAATAAAAAGATTTCCCTGCAGGAAATTATACACAAAATATTTGTTCAAACAGCTAAGGAAAAACATAACCAGGCAACATTTTCAGAACAGAGATCATAAACCTTCACCTGTAATTCATAAAAAATAAATATTTTTATTAAAAATAGACCTACATATCAAGTTCCAGTTGACAGGGTAGTTTGTATGTTGTGCCCCCTGCTGTTTTGCATTTGCCATTGGTGTGGTTTTGTATGTTGGTTTGGTTCAATCAATTAGAATGTTTTTAGCAAGGTTCAACTATTCAGGGATTCCCAAAGTGTGGTGCGCGCACCCCCAGGGGTACGCGAGCTGTCACCAGGGGGTGCGCGAGAGGAAAAATGCAATGGCGGTCTGTTTTTTTAAATGGGATTTTTCCAATACAATAAAAAAAAAAACATGAACAGTAAACATTTCCTTTGTAATCGCTGTAATTTTAAATAAAAAAACTATTATTTATTAGTTTTTAATAGAAACGTATAAGACAGCTGCTGTCTTCTTCTAAACACTGCTCTGCAGCCGCTATGCTATAATATGTCACGTTATCAACTTCTAAATTCAAATGTGCTTTCGCGCGTTGGCTGGCGCTTAGCCAGTGCTGTCATAGCCTATATCACAACTATTGAGTGTTTTCAACCACATAATGTTTATTTTAAGTTTCACACATTTAAATACACATAAGTACTAGCAAAACAATGATTTTTATTTTGCTGATATCTATGGATAAGGAAATAATAATCCTTTTCATTATAAGATGACACGTTTTATTCATATCAGATAACGTTACACATGATTGTGTAGAACGTAGCTTCACATTTTACCCTATTCTTCTCCCAGTTCACCAGCCTCCTACGTTCATGTATTTCGTGAGGGGGGGGAGAAACTGACGTGTTGTAAATCCAACAGATCCGATTCTTCTCTGAACTGTGGCACAAACTAACATGACGCCGCCCATCGCGCATACAGCTCAACTAACGCAATCGTTATGAAGGCGTTTAAACAACACAACGCGTCCACTTACACATATTTGACAATCGGAATATCACTGTTTCATGTATAGCTAATACATTTTGTTGTGAATATTTTTGATAAAAAAGGAAAAATGACATAAAAGCAGATCCTCATTCATTCAGCGCTGTGTTGTGGTTGCGTTGTGTCCCGTGACAAGCAATGACGCGTCACCATGGAAACATTAAAGTGACAAATTCTAAATAACGGTCGCATTGGTGTGAAAGGGTTAAAGTCATGGTTAAAAGTGGAAGCTTGTGCGTAGCTTTGTTGCATTATATTGAAACTTTGTTGATGTTGTTATTGTCATGATGTGTGTTCTGGTTATTTGAGCATGATAAAACATGAGTCTTTATATGGCAATAAAACAAAGCTTTGTTGCGTTTTTTTTTTTTTAAGTGGGGATTGGGGGTGCGCAAACCCGGTTGGGACATAGAAGGGGGTGCGCAAGGAAAAAAGTTTGGGAACCGCTGAACTATATGATGATGGCAGATTTTAACCTAAATGTTGAAGTACTTCATAAATGTCAGATCAAGCAAATTCAACAATAGCATTTTCATTGTAAAATGTGTAAATGTATGCTATAATTTTTTGTTATTTATTAATTACAATATTTGCTGTACATTACCTTTGTTTTTTGCTGATTTAAAAAAAATATTTTTGATAATAGTTTTTTTTAAGTTAGGTTCCACTGTGACAACTTACTTCATATAGATAGAGTGACATCATGCCAATATTCAATTAATTGTAGGGCCTATGTGTCTATATATTTCCTGGGTAGTGTTAGAAATGTTCTATAGCTTTAAAGTCTTTATATTGTGTCTATACAGAAATTGACTTTCCAAAGTAAACCTACCTTGAGAAATATTTACTGGAGTAAAAAGTTTGGCGCCAGTCTCCCTAATTGCTGCCATAAACAGTGTTTGATTAATTTCATCAGATCAACATATCAGGCTCTTTCAGTACACCATTGCAAGAAACATAGTAAAAGGCCAAAAGATCAGGTATCACACTTCTGTGATGGCATTCTGGAATGGTCCTAAAATCTTTAGCCTCTTTGTAAATTGTCTCTGTAATGTGACAGTTCAGTCACATGCATCCTCATTCCATTACTCTTTACATCGTTCATTTAGGTAGGCCCTCTGGGTAGGCCTATCTTATGTGTGCTGTTAAATGTAGCACCAGCATCTATATGTTTTCAACATTTTTCAATACAGATTAATGGCATAACCACAGGAAACATACAATAAGCAATAACTAATTTGTTCATTATTGTCAACATGACCATGGCAAAAACCGTCAAAATAAAATGCAAAGAGCAGTCGTTTTGCAGTCGTTTTATGTTGCACATTGTATTTGTTCAATCACACAATGAAATGCTTTAAATAAATTATTTCACGACTCGCTGACTATCCAGGAACAAAAAACAAACAAAAAAAACCCCTATCACAACACTTACAGAGTAGGCTATCTATGAAATGTGACAAATCATGAACTGTCGTGCGTGAAAGATGGGATAGCAAATATGTATAATAAAAGTACTTTTATTACTAAGTTTATTTATTATCATTATTAATCGAAGCAACATGTGTCGTCTTTTGGTTCAAAAACAAGACATAAATTAAAATAAATTAAAAACGAGAAAAACATGCGCATGCGCGTTGTTGCTGTTGCGCGTTTTAGAAGTCGCTCACATGACATGACGGTGGCGTTTCCTACTGCGGCTACGAGAAACTAAACAAATCTGACCTACTGCGTTTTTTAGATGTAGATTTGGCACAGCGGTAGCTCAAACCGACCGTATACGTATGCGCCATAACAATAGTTATCTGAAGAGCCCCTTTGAAGACGCAGATTGCACAGTCTGGTATCATCTGTTTTTGTATCGTGTGTGTTTTGATTTACGTTACTTTGGCAAGAAATATGATCCCCATCATCCGCAAACAAAACATGCCCGCCGGGGCAATTTTTTGCCTGCTGTTAGGTAAGTTTGATTTTAATATAGTGTATTTTGAGCAGCAGGAATGTTTGGTCTGGTTACTTTGATTAATGTGTTAATTAATTAATGAATTGCTTAATTAATAAGAATAAACAAGCCCATGTATGGAGGACGCTTTGTTTCCTTTTAAATAATAATGTTTATTCCTGCAATGCCGTGGCTTAAGTAACGTTAGGCCTGCGGTGTAAGGAAAGCTGAGAATTAAAAATATTTTTAACTTATTAACAGACATGACTTCTAAAACAATTAATTGTTTTCGTTACTGAAAACCACTACCATCATGTATTTGACTTCGGTGCTACCTGCTTCTACACGTTTAAAGGTGGACCCAGATATTTTTTTGCTTATTAAAAAAACTTTTACAAATAAAGAAATAAGAAATATAATTGAAATTTTATACATAAGATGAAGACTCAGTATTATATCAGTGAACGGGTCGCCCCCTTATGTTGACGTCAAAATAACATAATAATGATAATAATAGTAATAATCATGTTAATAAAAACTATAAATAAAACAGGTTTGGTGTGAAGCAGCAGAAGTTGGTAAACAAACAAACATCATGCATCCAGGCTGATAGGGGTCAGTAGTATAAATTCTAAAACCTCTTTTGCTATTGGAATTAATAAACAAAGTATAACAACAACTTACTGAGTACACCTTTAACCCTAACCAGTGGTACAGCTCATCTAGAACCTTTTAAAATAATAATGTTTTCATTACAGCTCTAACTATACATCAGACTTTGACCACTGATGTATCGCCCACTGTGGTCGCCCCTGAAACCAGCTCTCCTCCGGCCTCTCCTGTAACCCCCGGCCCCCCTGAGCGGGGCAGCTACAATGTCACCAATGCCAATGACACTGTCTGTCTCTTGGCACGGATGGGCCTGCAGCTCAACATAAGCTTTATTTCAAGCTCTCATGGCACGGTACTATATGGCACATATACTGTGACTTTCACTTTCATGGGACAAAAGTAGCTTGGAATATTCTGCTAATTATCTACTTTTCTCTTTGGTGGGTAACAAGCATATTTTAAATGTAGAGAATATCCGAATTTTCATTTTTGGTTGAACCATTCCTTTTTCCAGCTTATTACTGGAGCCTGAAATGGCACATAGAAAAAGGACACCTATATGCTTTATTTCTATGACAAATACCATTATGTATTGCTGCTATTAAAATTCCATGGGTTGTTGTGTAAATAAAGGTATTTGCTGGGATAAAGGGATTTGTATGCAAGTAATTCAGAGTAAGGAAGGTTTAGTCCTCATTTCTAAATGTAATCTAAATGTAAACATACTTTGCTTTTCAGACTGTCCAGGAGGTCTTGAACCTGCATCCGAACCTGATTAAATTCTCTGGATCCTGCGCGCCAGACTTTGCAACTCTCAAACTGACAGAGGACAACATTACTTTGACTTTCAGCTTCTCTTTAGTAAGTTCTGAATCTCCTCCTATTATTTCTAGGGATGCACTGATCATGACTTTTCATGGCCAATTCAGATTCCGTGTTTGTTTTCTTACAACCAAATTGGAAGATTTTGATAACAGTTGTGAATTTTTTTTCCTCTTTGTTTAACCCTAAAAAAGGGCAGACATAGGACACAAATAATACAATTTCATGATTTGTTTTAAAAACATGACTTTTATTTTTTATTTTAATGTTTGTATCCCCCAGGATAAGTTGCCCCCTTTGGGGTATACATTAATTGAAAACAGAAAGCTTGTTTGACAATGCTTATAACAACATTTTAGCCACATTTTTAAAACATTTGATTCTCTCATAACTTACAGTGAAGATTCTTTATAACATTTAGTCAAACAATCAGGATAATGCGTATCATATATTAGCCTACTACTGTATTATGTGCTGTATCATATTTGCACTCATAAACACTATTATACAGAATATTATATTAAACAGTTTTAATAAAACAATATTATACATTATACAGTGGTAAGAGGAAAAGAAAATGCCATCGAAACTTTTCGGAAGACAGTCAGTTCCCTTCAGAGATACTTTTATAAAAAAAACCACCCTAAATTCCATATTTATATTTTTCTTCCATTATTTTGAGCATCGCAAACAGTGAGCTTGTTGTGCCCTTTTCAGTATCTGCTGGCACGTCTGCTCTTCTCTTTGCGTCTGTCTTCATCGTGTCCCATCTCTGTCCTGTGGTAGCGCTCTGTTTATCGACTTGTAATATTTCCGCACAATTTACATATTGTGCAAGTACGGAATAGAGATCGGCCAAAATAAAATGGAAAAAACGGCCATAAATTGGAAACGTTCCGATTTATGGCCGGCCGACCAGTGCATCTCTAATTATTTCCTCTAATGTCCCCTCAAATTACCCAGACCACACTGATGTCATCATCACATATGGAATATACTTAATTGCTTTTCAGAATTCCACATCAAACAAATATCATCTTAGTGGTTTGGAGCTGTCAGCTGCATTGCCTGATATGGCTAGTAAGTCAGTTTTAAATAGCCCATGTATGATAGAATTTGTAGTTTTTTAGTTAAGTTTTCTGAAAAGCTGAGCCTTTTTGTTTTATTTTTGCTTAGAGCGTTTTGTTGTCGGTAACACCACTCTGAACTACATGGTGGGATCACTGGGCCACTCTTACATGTGTCAGAAGGAGAAAACCTTGAGCGTTACACAGGATTTCTCTCTTAACACCTTCCAGCTTCAAGTGCAACCTTTCAGCGTCAATGGAGATTTTGGAGCAGGTATTTTTTCTTTCTCTCTCTTACCCTTTCTCAGTTTTGTCCTTTCATTCTTCAAGGAATGTTTCGGGTTCAACACATAAAAGGCAACATGAAAATCTCAGTTGTCATAACATTGTGAAGCTGATAAAGCCAGTAACTTTGTCCACACAAGTATACTGAGTCTTTTATTTTAGTTAGTTAGTTATTTATTTTCTTCTGTCATTTTGAACAATTAAATCTTAGGTCATATGTAATTCAAAAATCCTGTACATAATACAATGAAAAAACAATGAAACAAATAGAGAAAGAAAAGAATTTTAATACATTAGAAAGATAAATACAAAATGAGTACCTTAGGAATTTAAATGCTAAATAATAGCATTAATAGCAGATTATGCTTACCTAGAGGAATCTGTTTTGTTTGTTGTCATTTAGGCTTAATCTGGGTCTTGGGAAACATACAATCTGTTTGGTACCTTATATTGTTAATTTAATGTTATGCATTTATTTATTCATTAAGAACTGTAGTCCCATCCAGGGTTTTTATAGTTAACTAAAACCATTTGTGTTACTTGACGACAAAACATGTTGCTACAACTTGTTGCTTCTCAGCCTCCAACTGCAGTGTTTGAGGGTGGGTCAAAGTAGATGTTGTTCATGGGCAGCCAATGAAAACCATAGGCTGCCATTATGCAACATTTTTACAAACCTACGTCGTTATGTTATGGAAGTGAGACTGGAATTGCTGACGATTCGTTTCAGCATTTCAGAATCAATTCTTTCTTTTAGGAGACAATAACTTTATTTGTTGTGCAAACAGCTATATTATACACTGCATTAAAGGTAATATTCAAAAAAGCATAATAGGGACACTTTAACAGAAATGAAAGGAAATGGAAAACAAATCAATTCAGATTTTTTTTTTTGTTGTTGAAAACTAATGTTAGTGATTTAACAAAAAAAGATAAGGCTTTTTTTGGGACACCATTTTCTACTTTGATTTTTGCTTAAATATGCGTACATGTGTTTAAGCTAGTATTTTCTATGATAATCAACATTATATAAAAACAGCTGTCTTTGTGTAGGTAGGTACACACATTATGATCATTAATTTAGATCTTGAAATACTGATATGATTGATTGAATATGTTGCTTTGCTTTCCTTAACTGTTTCAAATTGTTCTTCTTTTGCCACCCTCTCCCCTCCCTGCTCTCGCTCTGTCACTGTTCTAGCTGAGGAGTGTGAGTTAGATGAGGACGACATGTTGATTCCCATCATTGTGGGTGTTGCCTTGGCTGTTCTAGTGCTCATTGTGATCCTGGCCTACCTTATTGGCAGGAACAGAAGTCATGCAGGCTACCAGACCATCTAAACCCTCCTCATGTAATCTTTAATCCAGGATGTGTCGACACCACCGATTTTTGCTCTAATTTGGACTCAACAACACTACTACAACTGCAGATACCTTAACCCGATTTTTAACCTGCCCTGCCCTCTGCTGGTGTCTCACGCTGCCACTGCTCAGGTGGATTTGAGTTTCCTGGACTTTGAGTTGGATTATGTTAAACATAGTATAATTAATGCACACGTAAGGGTACAGGGCAAAATCTAAGGTGTCTAGGTCATGCTAAGGTATTGTTTCCAGGAACCAGATTATGCTTACCTAGAGGAATCTGTTTTGTTTGTTGTCATTTAGGCTTAATCTGGGTCTTGGGAAACATACAATCTGTTTGGTACCTTATATTGTTAATTTAATGTTATGCATTTATTTATATAAATAGGAGGATTTAGGGAAGCTGATAATGTTGTTACTGTTACATGCTCGGTCTAAAAGGGACTACAAATTTAACACTACTTTCTAATCTTGATCCTGACTACCTTTTGTGATTTTTAGCTAAAAGTTCACTTTTGGAGTTAAACACTGTAAAATACTGGTCAGCTTTTGGGATTCACCAGATTGGAGGAAAAAAAACACTTATTGCTGTCAACAAAGCCTTGCATAATGGGTTTGAGTCAGATATTAATTTGGTACTACATTTTAATGAATATTTAATGAAATTCCAAATCTGCTAAGTGAGTCTGTGAACTGATGTTAAATTGAATATCCACTTTCTAGAGTAGAATACCCTTCAATAACACAAACTAGTCCCGTTTTTCTCTCATACCACATATCAAAACTATATAGCCTGCTTGCATCCATTTAGCATTGTATTTGCATTCATTCAGAAACGTTAAAAGGGAAATTCTACTAGAATGAGGAAATCTGGTTTTGCACTACTGGATGGGCAAAGGGTACATTTGACACTAACACAGCAGGAAGTTCTGAATAACTTGAAGTAGGTTTAGACTATTATAGACCTAGGTAAATGGTTAACTGTTACAAACTCAAGGAGAGAACTGAGAGAAACATGCTTTATCATATAGTGGATAAATCTCTCCTTTCTGACGCCTTCATATGGAAGGACTGCATAGATGGAGTTGTTGTGGATATTGAAGTGTTGCCTTGATTGCTATGAAGTTCATGTTGTTTTAAGGGAATGCGATTCTAAGTTTCTAAATAAAATGAAAAATAAAACACAAGAAAATGAGTTTGCCTCCTAAATATTTATTAGTTAAACATTGCATTTCATCAACAGTATGTATATCTGAACAGAAAACCGATTGTTATAATAACACAACAAAGCAATAGGCAAAACATTTTTATTTTTCCAGTTAAAAGGTAAATCATACAGGTTTGGAATAACATCCCTCCAGAATTCAAAAGTTTCGGGTCAGTAATTTTTTTTTGGAAAGAAATTACTACTTTTATTCAGCCAGGAGGCATTAAATGAATAAGAAATGACATCAAAGACATTTAAAAAGTTACAAAATATTTATTTTTAAAATAAATGCTGTTCTTTTGAACTTTCTATTCATCAAAGAACCCTGAAAAAAAACATTATCATGGTTTCCCCCAAAAAATTAAGCTGTTTTCAACAAAATATATATATATATAAAAAAAAAAAAAAAATTCACCAAATCAGCATATTAAAATTATTTCTGGAGGATCATGTGACATTGAAGACTGGAGTAATGGCTGCTGAAAATTCAACTTTGCCATCACATGAATACATCTTAAAACATAAATATATTTTAAATTGAAATATTGCACAATATTAGTATTTTATGGTATTTTTAATCAAACACACCCTTAGTGAGCATTAGGCACTTCTTTTAAAAACATTAGAACATTTTACCGACCCTAAACTGTTGAACAGTAATGTATCCCTTGACACTTATTTCTTAAACATTCATATAGTTATTTATTGACATACAATTGTTTTGTTTTTTTCCACACAGTAAATAATAGATCTCGCATGCTGTCAGAACTTTATGTCCATGTTCAGCATTTATTGTGAAGGAGGGTTTTTGGCAGAAGTAATGCGATTTCTACACATCTTCCTGAGTTTAGTGATTGTTTCCGTGGAAAGACCTCCTGGCTCCATAAAGATTTTCTAAAGTTATAGGACAAATAAACATCATTCAGAGCAAAATTATAATTAGTATTATTAGCTTAGTTTGTGTATAAGTAGCATCCACGGAATGTACCTGTATGAATGAATGGCAGTCTTCTACGTACTCCCCATGAGTGATCTGTTTGAAGCGTTCGCAGATTTCTGGGAGACTCTGTGCCTGTGAGATGAGGTTCTGATGGTGACCAATCAGCGTCAAAGCCACACGGAACAGGATCTTGGATCCCTCGTAGAAAAGGCAGTCCCATATTCTCAGCACTGTCTGAGAGAAGCACACAGTTACCGATCATTACGTTCAATATTGGCATCGAAAATTCTACTTACACTCCATAAAACTGGCTAATCATTTCATAAGGACTGAAAATTGTTGAATGACTGCACAGCTTACCATTGATCTCTTTTCACAAAGAACAACCTTTGACTTTCATCCTCACCTCTACAGGGAGGATGTCAATGTATAGGCAGATGAACCAGCGCGAGACCACCAGGGTCCACATTACATTGTGCCGATTCATGGCCTGCCAGACAGAAGGAACCTTCATCCTGACAAGCTCCCCAAGCACCTCTTGATCCATTTTAAGCCCCAGCATAGTTGAGGTGTAATAGTCTAAATAAAAAAAAACTATATATATATCAACTTGCATAATAATTATGCATAGTGTGTGTGTATATATATATATATTATGGAACATGATACAGAATGGAATTACGATGAATTCATAATTTCTGAGTATTTACGAGTTAAACAGGACATTCAGATGTCCCATATGTATGTGGCAGGGTGATTTGAGCACACAATTGACAACTTTCATTCATTAGGCCTATATTACATTCATTACATTAACTTTAATTTTAACCAATAATAATCTACTGTGTTAAAAGGGATAATTTACCCAAACTGAAAATTATGTCATCATTTACCTTCGTGTCATTCCAAACCTGTATGACTTTCTCTCTTCTACAGAACACAAGATATTTTGAAGAATGTTGGTAACCAGACAGTTTTGGTGACCATTGAATTCAACCGTATGGACAAAAAACACTGAGCAATTTCTCAAAATATCTTATTTCAGGAGAAAGAAAGTCGTACAGGTTTGGAATGACATGAGGGTGAGTAAATGATGACAGAATTTTCATTATTGGGTGAACTATCCCTTTAAGTAAAGGTAAGATTTTGGGTTAAATTACCTACAACAATAGCCTAAAACAATGACTAAATAGCTTTTTGGCTATTGGTTATTTTATATATAACATTATTGTCCTCGCTCACAAGGTCTAGGTGATGTCACTCCAAAAACAAAGTCGTTTCAAAGGCGGAACAAGTTATTGCATTTTGATTAATGTAATGATTAACCTATGCATGATGTTTTGAAGAAGTCCTGGTTATAGTGTATACGACAGTGGGTAAAAGTGACAGACCTGGTAAGATCTTGCCAAGTAAAGCATCCATTAACCAGAACGACTTCTCCTCATCTTTGGTGATGATGAGGAGGTATCCAGCGATAAAGTTCATTCCCTAAAAATGCAACAAGGGACACATTTCGATTTCAGTAGCCTACTGATTTGAATGCAGACGGGTACAACAGGTTCTGTCATAATATTGACAGGGTAAACAACGCAAAATTACAACAGTGTCTTACTTCCTCACTTGTTATAATTGACTATTCACTAGTATCCTTACACAACAATAGTTTTAGATACTCATAGGAAGTTCAATACATCCTGGATTCAAGTGACACTTAAGAAATAATTATGTGTAAAAGGGCATGTGTATATGACAGTAGTACCTGACAGTAACCAACATCCTTATTGTGGTGTCCATAACCCAGAAGTATATTAAACAGAGCTTTTTGTAAACATGGTTGTGAGGAGTCACGGAACTGAATGTTGTCAGGGAAAGTTCTGTGCATATCTGGAAAAGAAAATTAATCTCAGAAGTATTTTATTTCCAATATGACCTGTTCAATCTCTATTCAGGATTGAATTAGTATAAAACTTTCAAATTATATGGTTTCATGAAAAGTAACTTGCCGGCAAGTATGGTCTCCTCTATTTTAGGGTCATGCTCAGCCTTTAATAGAGAATGATAGTACCCAGGATTCCTCTCCAACTGGTCCTGGGCTCCACTAGCTGCCATCCAGATCTGAGTGCGATGTTCACACGGAACCCCCTTCCTCACATATCGCTTCACTTCAAACCCAAACGACAGCTTCACAAATGTGAACCTTTCTGTCTTATAAAATATAGTAATAATAAAATTAGTAAAAATAAAATGGAAATGCCCACCTTTCAGATTCTTCTCCACTTTCACAGTGCCCTGCAAAAGTTTAGACCACTTCTTTGACCTCCTAGTGAGAACAGCTAAATACTCGGCCATTAGCTCCTCATTGGATTCATAGCTGAAATCCTCTGATCTCTCAAATCCATATGGGTCTACCCTACAAACACATTTACAGACTTGGTTCACATGTGGGAATTCTTTGAAACAAGAACAACAGAAACTTTAATAAACAAAATAAAAACTTAAAACCGTAAAATTACGAAGTTATGAGTTCAGTATTATTTTCTTTACTTAAAAAAAACTTTCTTAAAAGTGTTTTTATAAATGACATTGACGCAAACATCACCTGACGCACAGGTGTTTTGGACCACATCTCGTGGCGACCGTCACTATCAATAATAAAGCGAATGATATAAGGCCTATCACTTCATCATAGCAATATAAAGTTACATTCATACCTCTTGCAGTCGTTGTTGTCTGAACTGGCAGAACATTCCCTGCTTTGATCATTAAAGTGATTCTCCATGTAGAGTTTAGCGCGTCTCTTGCAGCGGGCACTAACTGAGACGAGCTGTTTACATAAACTCCTCCCCTATACCTGTCATATGCCCAGGTTATTTTTTTATAGGCTATATAAATTGCGTTTTACCTGTTTGGTTTATTGTGTGCAATTGAATAAGTAAGTCTATAATTTAACTCGAGGGCTAGTCCGTTTAAAATAATTTGTATGATTTAAATTATTTATATTATATTTTTAATAATTCATGTTGGAACTTGTGTTCTACATGGTTGAAAAGCTATAAATATATTAGGCTAAGACCAATCCTGTTAGAAATATTATTATATTAGTTTTTAAATCAAATTATAATATAATATAATATAATATAATATAATATAATATAATATAATATAATATAATATAATATAATATAATATAATATAAATAATACTTTGGCCCATACCCAATATTATTTATTTAGTAATGAACTGCACTTTGTGCGTCAGTAACCAATACAATTACATGCAAACATTTGAATAAATGTAGTTTGTGTTTATAATGTCATTATTTTGGCAAAGTATTTCATCCATATATTTTTTCCTCAAATCACCCGGAATAAAGTTTTAGTTAGTTAAAGTCCTATTCAAAATGAAAAATAAAAAGCACTGTAAAAAACAAAAACAAATAAAAACATACACTTCATAAAATTAATTCATTTTATTTTGTCATGCTTGCTGTATAATAAAACGGATATTCTTTTTGTCAGTTTGCTTTGGCAAAATAAAGGTCCCCAGGCTCTCCTATTTTAAGCAGCTAATGTTACTTAAATGTTTTTGGACTCCTTAGATAGACGAAATGTATTTTTAAAATATTAAGTTATTTTTCCATTATAATTTACTGTGAAAGACATAAAGAGAAATAAAAATAAATGTAATCCTTTTAAAAGTCACGTTTTTGGCTATCAGACTTTTATTTTAAATAATTCATCCAGCGCCATTTAGGAAAGAAGAGTTTTGTTTCCTGCTTCAGCTCCAGTGGGTGATGGCGGAGCTCCATCTCTCCACATCTTACAGGCTCATTTCTTCTTTTCTCCATGGGTTGAAATGGTTTCAGCAGGATATAAACAGTAGGACGTACGCGTAAACATATTCTCTCGGCCTAGTTTGCGGTAAACGCGAGTAAAAAAAAGGGTCGGACCCGTAACCATACATTGATCCCGCTGTATTTAAAATGGCTCCAGTTCAGATCGGTTCGGACGGGCAGCTGGTCCCCGCCGGGGGTCCGACCTCAGCCCCA